TATACCATGACTGATTCAGAATATCAATATAGTCCAAAATCCCACCAGACGCAAAACCTCTTGCATTCATTTTGTATGCCGACAAAGCAAAATTGTCGTCATTCGGTCGCGCGAAAGGTTACCCCGTAGTCGCTCGCTGTGCTAATCTTCCTATTACGATTCGCAATGGAGAAGGCTTGGGTGGAGGGCGCGTTGTTGGTTGGCTGCCTATCGTTCGCTCTACTCTTCCTTATAACTACTGATGATTTCATTATTAACACTCAGGACAGGTAAAGGAAGACAAGCAGCATTCTGGAAAACCTGCTTTCGTCAACTTCAAGAACGCAGTGTGGCACGCCTCGTTTCTGAAGATTCTCGAATGTCTGGGACCGCTATCGGTTTGGTTCCGCCATCAAATGCTGGGACAAGTTATTCGCGCCTTCTATTCAATTGTACTAATACTATCTGCAGATTATGAAGAACAGTACGTGTATTCTAGTTCCAGTAACTATTATATATCTCTGACATCTAAATGTGTTCACTGTTGTAGGGCTGTAATGGCATTGATTCGTGGGTTTAATGGGCAAATTTCCTTGTCCCGTCTGTCTAGTGCCTCGCGACGAACTTTCAAACACTCTCAAGGTATTTCCTCTCCGCACATGCACAGGAACTAAGGCATTGCTTGCTCGAGCGCGAGAATCTTCTACATTGGAGGCAAGAGAACAGATCTTGAGTTCCCAGAGCCTCCGCGATGTCGACGTGAGTCTCGCTCTTATCCTTATCTTTATCTTACTCAGTCTAATATTATTGTTTCGTTTTCAGAGTTCATTCGGCATTCTGGAGCACACCGACGTTCACAGGGCTCTATCGCACGACAAGCTCCACTTCAACGACGAGGGATTGTTCAGTGATCACACGTGGCCCGAACTGCAGAAATGGGTTGAACGTTTGGGTCGACAGGCCGCTGTCCAGATTGACACCTTGTGAGTCATTTTCCCGCTGTACTTATGTATTAATAGGTTTTAATTTATATTGTCAGCTTTCAATCATTCCGCGTTGGCGAAACCTGAATCACTTCGATCAGGTTGTTTCAGTATCATTTTCCGATGGAACGAAATATGAAGACATCTCTAAGGTGAGTCTAGATCATTCATTTTAACATGTCATTCACATTGTTTTAGCTTATTGTATTTGCGGCACATAATGTATTTGACTGCGATACAGATCCAGAGGCATATCTCATGCTCCGCTGTATCCGAAGCTACACGGAGTTCAATATGTATGCTTCGTTAGAGGTTCATACTGAAGATACCATCAATAATGGCCGGGAAGCGTTGTCAAAATTCACTGGATTGATGGATGTACGTATTTTTAGTTCAATTCTAATTCATTGCATTGAAATCAATTGTTTGGTCAGAAATACATCGAGGACACGGCAGAGATGTCCGAGAAGTCCTGGAATTCCCCAAGAAACACCTTTCGGCCCATCTCTTTGACGACATTGAGGCGAAAGGTGTTTTCTCGAAACTACAGCACCAAGCCGAACGAAAAAATGCACGGCCCATTGAAAGATGCCTATCAAGATCGCACGAATTTCAAGAACTTCGCTGAACAGGTGAGTGACTTCTGAATCTGAGTTCGCATATATATGACTAACAATGAATTTTTTTAAGATCCTCCGATACAATCATGACAGCTTGATTGCGGAATACATCCGCAACAAGTTGGATCACCTCGACACTCAGAATATCAGCGTAGACCGACCCGAATCACCCGATACTACACTCCAGGAGACCGACAACTCAGATGACATTGATGTTGACTCGACGGAACCTACTGATGCCCAACATTTCACTCTCGGTTCAAAGCGGGCGGCAATGTCATTCACACTCATCGAGGCAGGTAGTCCGGGTAATCCAGTGTTTGATAGATTTCGAATCAAGCTAAACGACTTTCTGAACCATGCGTTTGCTGCCAACGGCATACCGTTTCCAGGTGGACGATGGATTCAACTCGTTGCGAGCGACATGGTGAGTTGATGATGTTCAACGCTCCGAAATAACATAATATCTGAGTCCTTTTGAATTAGATCGTGGAACATCAATTCCTTAGAGTCAATTTCGAGTCACTTGTCGACTGGCGAGTGTCCACGGACTACCTTCGATGCACTCTGATGTTCCATGGCTCACCGCAATACAATTGCGTCATCTTGCAGACCGACACTGGCATCATCTTTGGCAAACTAATGTTGATTTTCACATGCACAGTAGGGGATGTTCAATATCCTGTCACGCTTGTTCTCCCGTATGATCGACCGGTCGGCGTTCGTCCTCAAAAGGACAAAGACTTTCAGTTTTGGCGCGTTAAGACAAAGCCTAGGGCTTCCGCAGAGTTTTTTTCAGTTCACTCGATTATTCGGGGTTGTTTGATAGTAGAGGATGCCAGCAGACCTGGCGAGTTTCTAGTCGTTGACACTATTGACACTGATATGTTCCTTCGAATGCAGGACATCTGCAGCCAGTGATTGGTCCAGGATTCTTACTTCCTCCCTTATCTCTGAATCCATATACATTTCGCTCATCTTTATCTCATCCATCGTTCCCTCAGTCATCGCTTTTTATGTGTCCGAGTCATCATCAACCCCACCAATTGCTTCACTCCTGCTCACCTTCCCCGTTGTGATCGCAGTTCCCCGTGTCATCCGCCGCATGCTCAAAATATCCAATTCGGACTCAGGTCTCGCCACAACATTTATTCCTCTGTTTCTCGCGCCACCTTTGATCATTGGCACAATGTTCTGGATGCTCGAATGGTGACCGTCAACAGTGCTCCCCTCTCAGGCGAGGCTCGTATAGCCCTAGGCAACACGAAGAAACACCTCGAAAAGTTAGAGCGTCTACTAGCTGAATTTCAGGCTGCAACAGTCAACGGTGCTCCCCTCTCAGGCGAGGCTCGTCGTGTCATCGAAGAAGAGGCACGTGTAGCCCATGCTGATAGACAGAGAGACGAGGCAGAAGCACGCAGGCGCGTTGTTCTCGAATCTTACGACGAACTCAGCAAATATCTCGCCGCAATCGAATTCCTTAGAGATCCAGGTGGCCATCTCGTCTTGACACCCATCCCAAATCAAATCCAGCACTATCACAGCCCCTACTCTGCGAATCCTAGTATCACTGTAGAACCCCCACGTTTATACAATCAATCTCACCATCACTACACTTCATCCCTCAGTTCTGGTGCTCTCCCTCCAGCCCTCCCCGCTCCCCCCTCCACTCGTGGTGTCCGTCCTCGCTCAGGCAGCTTCAATGACACATCTTATCTCATTGCACCCCTCCAGCCACCTTCCAAACAACCTCGCAATGACCGTGGTGAATATGACCACAGGCCTCCACTCTCCGTAAGTTCCCTCTCATACTACCTTTTTATCTCCTCACATTCTCCAGGCTACATCACGCGGTCGCATTCCTGATATCGACCCCCTCCCCCAACAACTTCCTCAAATTCAACACCATAACCATCACCTTAGCATTCGCCCTACTCATAAATCTCACTCCTGATCCAGCAGCCGATCTAGTGTCCGTGCTACTTCACAGGACATCGAGGACCTCCTCCTTGACGCTGCCACTGATGAAAGGAGCGCTCTCAATGCCCGTGACCAACAGCCACAGTCTCCCCGTGCCGTGTTGGCTGCCCACTAGTCCAGGGGTATCCCAGTGGGTCCATTGGATCAACCTGGCGAGCTCAGGACCTATCAAACCCACATTTTTGCCCCTCCCGTCATGGGCGCCCCCCAAAAGAAGGGGAAACCAGGGTCAAGCGCAAATATCAGTGCGTGCATTTTTTAATGAACAGATCTCGAGTTGATGACATAGCACCAGCTCACAATGGCTCCCCACCAACACCTGGACCTCCTAACGCCTTCGTCCCTGCCATCGCACCAGCACCTCCACCCGCTATTCCTCCCACCACCAAAGATGAATGCAAGATATTTTCCTTCGCATTCACATGGCTTGCACTTCCTTGACTGGCGTCCTGGTTCTCTGTCTTGTTATTCCTCGTCTTGGATCTACGGCGACTCTCACTATTGATTATCGTCCAGTCGAATCTCAAATCTCTTTCTATCATCTAATGCAAATCATCGAATCGGATCACCCCACGCTCCAATCATATGTTTTCATCCCATGCTCATCTTGCTGTCTGCAACTGTTGTTTTCGTGCTCTTTTGTTTCTTTTTCTTTTTTTTGTGTCCATGCGATTCATCGTTGTTCATCATTTCGTGCTATCTGTATTAATCCAAACTAGTATGTCTCGAGTCAGATCGGAACCGTGACCCTCCCTCTCCGCCTGTAATCGCTACCCTACAGACTTAGACTACTGACGATGAAGATCCTGGACGAAGACGACAGGGTGTGGTGTCATCTGGTGGGTGAAACATCCTCCATTTTATCACTCCCTAGTTGACACACACCTTTCAGCACAACACCTTCCTTCTCCCCACTCCGACCCCAACACAGATCCAGACGCAGACGGCAAAGGTGATGCGGATGTAGACGCAGAGTTGAGAGAAGCAGCTGATGCTGCTGCTGACCACCGCAGTGCGTCTTCAGCTGGCATGAAGGAGGAAGACATAGAAGTTAGAGAGTAAGCACAAGTCCATAACAGCCGAGACCGATTCGAGGAGCGTGACAATCCTCACCCCAGGTATCCCCCCTCTGGTTCTCCGGTACCCCCACATGCACTCGGCAGCATCGACAGAGCATTGACGCTTTCCCACTGCTCGGGGATCTTCGGGCCATCGCTTCGCCCGCTGTTTGGTGATAGCGACACCATTGGTTACCACATGGTGAGCTTCCTTTGATTTAAATGAACCCCCCTTCCTCACCATTTTGAATGGCATTGCCCCCAGGTATGGAGGATTGTACTGACATATTGTACCGGCACCTTCATCGCCAGGTATTCCAAAACACGAACCTACCTCTGTTCAATGTCGCTTCTGAATCACCTGGACCGGCTACAGACTATTAATACTAATACCAAGACTATCTATACCGTGCAGCATCATTACTTGGCCTGGCTTTATTTCGAGACTGTGCATCTGAATCATCCTACTACAATATTAATTACGTCCTACCAAAGCTAATCTTCATCTTCTGAATCATTCATACCTACTTGCCACCAAAGGTGCATTGTTAACATGATTATGTCAGCATTTAATCGTGTTTTCTCACTAAGTCCACTGGTTGAGTTCAACGTTCAATATTGCAACTTCTGAATCTTAATCTCAAACCAATTGGGACCACAATCCAAGCATATTTATTATCATGTCAAGCAAATGCAGGTGAGTCTGCATCATTAGTCTTCTAGGTCAAAACATGTTGAACCAATAGCACGACATCTGATTCAGAATCTTTCAGTTTTAAATATTACAGCGCTTATTAGACTGTTGTGTAATAACAGTCATCGGTCCCAATGGTGCATGCCGGCTCTCCAATACTTCTTGGCCATCAGCACTAGATAGTGCCACAAATGTAAGTTGCCTCGTGTCATATTATCATTCACCTGCATGCTGATTTCAATTTCAAGGCTATGCACGATGTAATTTCCCTCGTGTTTTCTTTCATCATGTTGTTCGGTCCAAGTTGCGCAGCAAATATTTTCGACTATAAATGGTGGGTCTGTCCGTCATTACTTTCCGTACTGTGTTGTACTTGACTGTACCAGTTCTTGTGATGCCTCAACGTCCCATTGCACATGATGACTCGGAGTCCGAGTTAGACTACAATGACATATCTGATTTGGACAATGCACCGGTGGCAGGGATCTCGTCAACCACCACTCAGTCATCGGCTTCTGTGCAGGGTGGAGACATGGAGGTAATGTTTATGCCTTGCTTCGCTCACATTTGGTGACTCTAATTTTGTGCATTTCTGTTAGATCATTCGAAGTCTGCAACTAGAAAACCAGTCACTTAAAAATAACAATAGGACTCTGGGCGAGAAGAACAAAATCTTGGCATCCAATCAACGTCGACGTTCGAGTGCGCAAGTTCCCGACGAGCTGAAGGCTTACGACGTTGAACTCTCAACCTTTGCTCACAAATATGGTGTCATTGCTGAGATGTTCCCACCCGAGCACCGTGTTCTCAGATTGCTCGTGCCAAACCCTCCGCCCATGATCATATCTGCTAGTCGCTACGCAAGCAAGAGTGCCGAAGAGCTTTGTCTTGTGACAGAGGTGTATTCACTTCTACCGGATCACCTCCATCGTTTCGTACCTACCTCTCATTTTCAATCATTGGTATGTTAGTTTATATATTTCATTGTGTGACCAAGCACTGATTGATATGTATTGCAGCTAGAGCAGCATCTCCAAGGCGGGCGCTCGAGTGAGATCGGCAAACTACGCTTGATGGCAGGGCGTATTTTTGGTCTGGATTCATCCTACTTTGACCTGTGTTTCATGAAGCGGGATACCATTCCTGAAATCCAGAAGATGCTCGGACCAGGTACCACTGGTGCTCGCTCCTCTCCGTCAAAATTTCCGCCCATCCTTTTTACAAACCGAGAGATGGACCCCACGATGTCCACGGTTTTTGGTAATTGGGAACCGCTCGCAAAGGTAATTTTTTTCACTCTCTGAAGAATCTATTCTTGTGCTAATTGATCTACATAGGCAATTAGGATCGTGATGTTCGGAAAGAATTCACTGGACATTTCTGGGTGGCCGCGTGCTAAGTGCAATGCTCGAAAATGGGGCACAACGTCCTGTACTCCCGGTCTTCTTGCATGGGGTTGGGTCGCAGTGAGTTCTATTTCTGCTATGATTGATCGTCTGAACCAGCATCTAACTATTATTCTTTAGTTGATATTCATCCTTTCTCCTGATACTTCATTCGCAAAAGCTGGAGTTGGCGCAAAGTCTCGGCTACCATATGCTGCCATGTTTACGGCCTACAAGCAGCTGTGGGTCTCCCTTTGGGATCAACCTCGCATTTGCTTGATCCGCAAAAAGATCGACGCCTACGTGTGGCAATCATCTTCGACTTCCAATGTTGCGACGTCTGACGCTGAAGGTGAAGATTTTACCTCTGATCTGATGTGTTTGGCCATCGCAAATGCAGGGTGCAAGGAATCTGACTTTCCTGGACCGACTACCGACAACATTCCTGGAACGACTACTGACAACACCTCCGATATTCCTAGACCAGTCACCCCCATTTCACCCATAGTCATTCCGGCAGCATCTGCGTCAGCCCTTACTCCTGGACCTGCAGTACCGGTCATTGTTCCTGCTGCACCGGCCATCCCAGTGCTTGGCCCTGCAAAAACTACCACCGCCCCAGATCCCAATCCTACAATCCTCCTGCCTGCTCAACCGACCCCAACTGTGGCATCTGCAGGTGTGGTCCAGGGTGCAGCTGCTGTTGCAGTCACTGCGGTCCATGAATTTCCTCCCGCAGCTGCTGAAGTATTACCCAATGGCGTGGAGATTCTACCAGTGGTGGCAGCAGCTCCATCCTCTGGCCGTCGGGGCCAAGGAAGGCAGGCGGGGATGCTGGCGCCTGTGTCTAGTGGGCCAGCAGGCGAGCAGGCCAGCCGACCAAAGCGATCCCGGAAAAAGTAGTACGACCGCCACCTACAGATCGCTATTACCGTATTATTTGATATGTTTTGTTGAGGATGGGTGCTAGTTACAATTGTATTTACTTGCTCTCAATGATATTTGGATTGAATTGAAATGTGCCTGTTTGCGTTCCAACGTTCTTGAGACCCAGTTAGATTATTCGGATAAGCCTTGGGATCTAGATTTCAAGGTACCGCAAAATCAGCTTGGACAGTTGCAGCCGACGGTCAATATTTCTGATTTGGTTGAAACCCTAATTGAAGCCACGATTGTGACACAAACTCAATATTGTAACGTGAATTGTAACACAAATGTAACGTCACACTCTTTTATTGCAACCTATTGGGACTTTGGCTTGTCATTGATTCATTGCAACACGTTACAAGGCGACGAAACCCAATTAGGAAATTTCCGACACAGGCGGCAGTGTGCATGTTGCATTTGAACGTTGATCTTGATCAAAACCTACAGAATATAGCTTCCACTGTCCTTCCTGTACACGTGTTTCCCGATTTCCATCATCTACATGGTTTTCTATATTAAACTTGGACGAACAAAATAATTCAGATCCAATGTCAACGTTCCTCTTAACGATCGCAAGCCCGATTCTCCACCCAACGCCCAACCCTTCTCTCTCAATTTCCCACAACGATTCAAATATTTACCAGCAGCACCCTCTCCCACTCTATAGCTACCGCCCAATTCTTCTACCACTACTTCTGAGCCCAAGGTTTCTCTGGCTCAACAGCCTCTACAACTTCGTACGCTCCGTCCCACATCAAACAGACATAGTCTGAGTCTCAATATATTGTTTATAATGTTCGTTCTTTCTTGTTTTGTTGATTTACATTATATAGGAATGTTTTTTACACCGAACTGATCGACCGTCGCTAGAAGGATCCATGTTTTGAGACACTAACGCGTTTTGTCGCCTTCCACATGCCGATGGGAGCGCTCTCGTTTATCGTGTGGTGTAAGGATGCTGAGTTGCTATAGGGGAAAGCCGAAGGGATTGGGGATATGCATGGTGGTGTCACGAGGGAAGACATGCATGCAGTGAGTATCTATTTCACTCTTTAAGTCTCGAGAACTAATCCCAGATTCAACCATACACGACAGTAAATTGGTCTCATGCGCTACGATATGTTGCCATCGACGATTCCTCGCTCAAGTCGACTATCCGAAATCCCACCTTACAGGCATGCACACCCGAACCCACGCCCACACCACTTTGCAAGACCGATACCTTCACAACGTCAGCCACCCACACCCAGAAGACTTCTACTCAAATTTTGCATCGCTTTCCTCGCCATATACGGCATTTACGACACAATGAAGACATTCTTGTTACTCGAGAGCGCGCGACACCGAGCCTTTCTCCAGACAAGAACTGCGTACCTGGAGTGCGGCAAGTCAAGAGCGGAGTCTCACGCATGAGGTTGGGTATGAGAGCACGAAGGAATTGGAAAAATAGTAGGTTTTACGTTCATTAACAGGCAATATTCTTGACCGTAAGTCTCCAGACAATATTGTCCGCAGCGTTGATTATAGTCTGTCCACAGGATTGGTACTCGAGCCCAAGGTGGACCATGTCGACCACTCCTGAATGCATGCACATTCGACGCAGACGTGACCTTGAGGACTTTCCTTCGATGACGACACCATTACCAGCGAAGCTGTCAGATTTTCGAATGTCTCCTCTCGAAATTAGCACTCACAACGACCAACCGCCACAAGCTCATTGTCCTCGCCAACCCCTTTCTCTATCTCATCACAAAAATTACTCAGCCCAGACATGACTATGTATGGTCATGTCTGCGGTATCAATACCGTCGGATATATCGGCTGCCGGGCTCAGTATGTATTGCCATCCTAGGGAACGCGAAGTTCGATCAACATATGCGTCTACGTCATACTTCAGCTTGCGACTTTGTTCATCGTGTAGATAGTTTAGAAATTGTTCATCACGTAGATAGTTCAGATATTGTGTATCACTCCAATATATTCATGCAATGTGATGTATTATCAATCTATACAAAGCAACAAGAACTTGTAATACGCTGTAATGTACAAAACGCGAGTCAATGCAATGAGTCCACTCATCTATCGGGCGGGATCCGGAAGTAAGGCATGCGTCGTGAAGAGAAAACGAAACACTTGAACAGAGAACCATAGAGAAAGCGTGAAAGTACGAATGCTGAGTAGAAAGGAAAAGTGAAGGAGTCCTGTAATAAGATATGAGTACTAGGCCAATAAGACGACAGGAACGTACCATGCAACAAAAATATTCACCCGTCTACCTCCTGCGTGTTTGCCTCTTTGCACGTTTTGCTTGCCGCTGATCTTCCTCATCTTCTGAATCCTCGATGCGCTTTTGCTTACCCTTACCCTTGCTCTTTGAGTGAGTTTTGGCGGCTGGCGGTCGTTTCAACGTTCCATTGGTGATGTCATCGAGTGCGTCATCATCGTCTGTTAATTCGCTTAACACAGGTGACTTGCGTGAACTGGAGGCCATTTTTGCAGCTGATAGACGACGAGCAATGGCAGGCGGAAGCGGAGAAGGGATAGGAGGTTCAGCAGAGGTCAGAGCTGGAGAACTTGGAGGAGGAGTGGTGGTTGGAAGGGCAGGCGGCGGCGGAGGAACAGGGACCGCAGGGGCTGCAGAAGATTTAGCAGTGGTAGAGCACACCGCAACCTGTGCTCGCATTCTCACCAGGCTATCCATGGAACCCATGGAACTCCTTCCACGATCGTCACCTTCTGATCCGCCTTCTCTGCCATCCTCATTCTTGAAGAGTGTCCTTACAGAAACAAGATTGTCAGGATAGTCAAATGAGTTAAAAATACACGTACACATTCCACCACTTCTTTAGTTCTTGCACCCAGTCGGTATCTCCACAATCACGAATAAAGTCGATAATGTTCTAATAAAACTCCGGGTATTTGAACTTGCCGTCGATGTCCGACCACTTATTCTGTGCGCTGATTCCGAAACGTGCCTGCAAATTGAAAAGTGAGAAAGAATGTTTGTGAATCAAACAGGACTTACCTGTACACAAGCGTAAGTGATATGCTCTGCTTCGACATTTGTCATATCATGTAGTGCGGCATTGCAAGTGTGTGTAGCCCGCAAATCTTGACCTAAGGCAGTTGATGGGCCTGTAAATATATGACGCAATACCTCGACAGGTTCTTGGTGAGACTGATAGCCATACTTGAGAAAAACTTACGCATTCGATAAGATAGCCCTGGAATAGGCCTTCAGTCATAGCCTCGTCATCATAGTCACATCCAGGGGGATTTCCAGACCAGAGGAATGCGGGGAAGTCGTTGGCAGTCATGAGGATTCCTCCGCTGGCAAGTTTTTTCTGGCCCCTGCGAAATGCGAATCTCAGTATGCACACGCTATATAAAATGATACGTACTCAGCTGGATCCCGCTTGAATTCTGTGAGCTGCGAAACAGGACAAAGAAAGGATGCTAATACAGGGTGGTTCACACCCAAATGTGATCGCGAGGGGTTACCATTGTAGATAGCGGGTTTTAAACCACCATCAGATGGAATTGGCGCCGCATAGTGTCCAATTTGCGACTTCAAACGAGCCGCATCGTCTGAATGTGTCGCACTGATGACCGAATTCATCTATGATAAGTCTAAGTAAATGATATATGCGCATATAAGCAGCATATACTCACCTTATGAGTCACTTTGCTCAGTTCCCAGGCTTTGGTGCGATCGTTAATAAGAGATTGGATGCTCGGAGCTAAGTGGAGTAGCTGCTGATAGTTCCGTGTGTATCGATCACACGTCTTTAATGACCTGAATACAAATTTAGTTCAAGAATTTTCGATCAGATTGAACTTACATAGCAGAGAGTCTCTTTTTGCGGGTTTCCTGATCGGCCTCAGATTCATCGAGCTCTCCCTTCTCCGCGGCCTCCTCTTGCTGAAGTAGACAACCAATCTTGATGAGCTTGTCGACCTTGCAAAATAAGTCGACACAATGTGCAATGCCACGTGCAGCTGCCAGGTACTCCTCATGGGGATCTCCCTTGTGCGCCTTAGATTTCTTCGATTTCCTATCACTCATAAGTGGTATAGTTGCAATAGATAGGATCAAACTTACTTTGATTTTGAAACATCCTTGTCGGTGTGTAAGGAATCTTCGGAAGAAATCAGTGAGCTAGTTCTGCTATTGGATGATATGGAAGATTGAGAGGAGACGGAGACTGATCTGGAACACTTCTTATGTGCCATGAGGATGATGGTAGGGGTATGAGATAAAGATATGTGATAGAGTTGCGTACTTGATAGTAATTTCCGCATGTGATTATTAATCACGTGATCAATATGTTCGATCAACAAACTTATGACAAGTCCTGTTTTCCTCTGCCAATACATACAATATCCGCTACTATCGTGCTTCAACAAGCAATTCTCAGAATGCTGATCCTCGCAGAACATCCTCAGAGACCTTGGCCCCATGACTGGATCCATTATATCAAGGTAATTTGATGCATGCCGTTTTCTGCTCTTGGACTTTCTGTGACTTTGCAGGGTGATTTGATGCACGCAGTTGTCTTCCGGCGATGTGATAAGGGTCATGAGGCAAGTTTAGGTATTGGAGTTGCAGGTTTACGGTATGGAGGTGCCCTGAGGATTAGTATTGTTAGCAGGTGCGTTCACTATATTCTTCTTTCCGCATTCTAGTATGCTAATTACCTGCATAGAGCTTTGTATTTTCAGGTACTCCACATTTATACTGCATAGCTAGATCGATATCTATGCTGTGCAATATATATATTACATCGCCCTGTCCATGTCCGAGTCAAACTTGAGCTCCACCACCCTCCGTCCTTTGAGTTCATCTTGTATGGATGATCTTAGTTGTTTGGGTTGCGCAAAATCCTTTGCTACCCAGAAATGCTTGAGCAGTCATGAAGCTCAATGCACCGCTAACAAATCTCTAGATACTGATATCTACAGAAGTCAGCACCGCCTTGAAAAGGAGAAGCGCAGGAAGCGCAAACGGAGAAGACGTCGGGAAGAGTCTCGGTCGCCAACACCCCGAGAACAGACACCTCCCACTCACAACTCACCTCATCCTGATGAGCAGATGGGTGTCGACAACAGATGGCCGGACATTGATCATGAGGTAAGATAATAGTATTTTCAGGTTCATGCACTGATCCTCAATAGGTTGAAAATAATGTGGTGGGACCTTCTTGTGTTCAAGTTGCGGGACCCGAGACATCTGCTACTGTCTCTGCGCGCTCCGGTCGACAAATTTGAATGCCAGCACGGTATACGGATTATGTCCCGGGGACGGCAACCCACTTAGCACATATGCCCCCTACTTCGCGTCAGGCACGTGGCCAGCCCGCCGCGCCATCTCCTTCAGCACCCATTCCCAACTCACCTGATGAGGAACGAGGAACCCCCCCTGCTGATATTCACGCACTCATCCCAGACCAGACAGCACCAGATGAGTTGGGCCTTTTCCGCATATATGCGCAACGTTCCACTCTGATCCCGCACCGAGATCAAAGCCTTGATGCGATCGCTGATGCTCCTACCTTCGAAACGCAGGGTGACCCTGATTTTGATCGATCACACATCATTCCTGGACTTCCCTCCCAGGATATCCAACCCGATGATATCTTCTCTGCATTCAGTAGCCCAACTGCGGGGCTTCTCTTTTTCTGGCAGTACTCCGGTATCAACTCCAAGTCCAGCGCTGAGATGAAACACCTCGGTAGGACTTTTCTCGACGATGACAACTACAGGAGGGAAGACGCTCGAGATTACGATGATGTACATGAGAAGAGGCTTCTCGGGGATTATCTTAAGGATAAGTCAAATCCATTCCATATCGAAAACGGCTGGCACTGCTCCTCAGTTAATATCTGCCTACCGAAAGAAAAGGAGAAGTATTGATCAGAAGACGAAGCACTGGAAATGGAGATCCCGGGTGTTTATCACCGCTCCATCACTAACATCATCACTTCCGTCTTCAAGGATTCTGTTGCATCCACCTTCCACATGACGCCCTTCCAGCAGCTATGGAACATGTCAGACGGGCACACTGTCAATGTTTACGGCGAGGCCTATTCTTCCCCCGCATTCCTGGAAGCTCACGAAGAGATCAACTCACTTCCTCGTGATCCCGATGACGATCTTAAGCGTGTTGTTGCATCGCTCATGATGTGGTCAGATGCGACTCATCTCGCAAGTTTCGGTGATGCTTCTCTCTGGCCCATCTATTTGCTTTTTGGGAATCAGTCCAAATATGCACGAGGCAAACCAACAGTGTCCGCATGTCATCATGTAGCCTATATTCCTACTGTAAGTCGCTTCTCGGAAGATCACTATTTGAAATTGCTCATTAACATTATTATCTTAGCTTCCAGATAATTTTCAAGATATCTACATCAGTATATTTGGCGAGGCCTCTTCGAATGATACCTACACTCATTGTAAGCGCGAGTTGATGCAAGCTATCTGGGCGCTTCTGCTTGATGAAAAGTTTATGCACACATATAAGTATGGTGTTGTCATTCGATGTGGAGATGGCATCACAAGACGTGTATTCCCTCGTTTCTTTAGTTATTCTGCAGACTATCCTGAAAAGTAAGGTTTTCATATCTATTGCTCGGTATCTGATCTTAATTCTATTATTAAACAGAATCTTGCTCACATGCATCAAATTTCTCGGCGAATGTCCGTGTCCTTGTTGCCTGATCAAGAAAGCTGATGTTCCTAAGATGGGAACAAAGCTTGATATGAAGTGGTGCAAGACAAATCAACGGATCGATAGCGCATCCCATCGTGATCGTGTTGAGCAAGCTCGGGCCCATATATTTCAGAAAGGTGCCGGTATCAACAGCCAGTACGTCAAGAACTTTTTGCAGGAGGAGTCACTTGTTCCTACTTGAGTAAGTGATCGATCAACACTAGCATTTCATTTTAAATTAATATTGTTTAAAGACACCTTCTCTGAGCGCCTTGCTGACTTCGCCTTCAAATTATTTTTGATGTTTGTTGTTGATCTTCTACATGAATTTGAGCTCAGAGTCTGGAAGGCTATTTTTACGCATCTCATGCGTATTCTTTTTGCCGCCGGGGGGACAGCTATCCAGGAACTCAATTGGAGGTATGGGTATCATTATTTTCACGCAGTTAACTAATCACATATGCTTATAATAGGTATCGCAGAGTGCCCACTTTTGGACGAGGAACAATAAGACACTTCCACACGAATGTGTCGGCCATGAAGTGACTTGCTGCCCGAGATTTCGAAGACCTTCTTCAGGTAAGATTCATATTAACTACATTTGATCGCATCATGGATCGCATCATTGATGTGATCAATGATGTGATCAATGATGCGATCAATGTTAAACTATTAATATCAGTGCACTATTCCGGTCTTTGAAGGACTTCTCCCCGGCAAACACAACAGAATCATCCTCGATCTCCTGTTTGATCTTGCGACTTGGCACGCATATGCTAAACTACGTCTACATACTGACGACACACTTGCCTTTTTCGACTCAGCAACAATCGTCCTTTCCCGATCAGTCCGCAAGTTCGCGCGCACTACTTGCAAGAAATATGTGACGACCGAACTACCACAGGAGCATGCCGCCCGTAGTAGTCGTCAGGCTGCTCTGGCATCAAAACAACTGGCGGAACCTGCTACAAGGCAGTCAGCGCAAAAAGAAAAGTCAGTTGTAAGTACCAAGGTCAAGAAACTGAATCTATATACATACAAATACCACGCGCTTGCTGATTACCCTAATACGATCCGGAGAATGGGTACTACAGATAGTTATTCCACACAGCCGGTAAGTTTTTTTTTATCGGGTTATCTGATATCTAATCTACCATAGGGAGAACTAGAACATTGCAGATCTAAGCGTCGATACCCCCGCACATCCAAAAAGAAGAATCAGATGATCGCTAGCATTGCATCTCAGGAGGCTCTAGAACATTTCGTCGAGAAGGTGATCGCTGCACGTGCAGCGCATCAACAGAACCCAAGAGCTCGGCATGTCCGAATGTCTCCCTCCAATCACTACTCAATAGCCAAATATGCTCGAGAAACTGATGATCTTACAGTCTGGTTAAGTGAGCATCAAGATGACCCTGCTGTCGAGGTGCAGTTATTTTCTGATAAATTTAACCATACTCATTAATTTCTTAGGACTTCATTCCACGTCTCAAGGACCATTTGCTCGCTCGAATTCGTGGTATTACATACGATGGAGATGAGCACGACTAGTGACATTCCGGCCCGGCTTGGGCTCAAAGCCCCGGCTTAGGCTCGGCCTGGAAGGGCTTAGGCCCACCAGATTTCAAGCCTGAGCCGTGAGCCCAAGCCAGCCCAAAGCCGAGGCTTGGGCCCAAGCAAGCTGCGGCCCACACGCTAAATTCGACAAATGATGATGTGAATTGAAAACAATTTTTTTTGAAATCACTGGACAATGGGTGATGCCGACGGACGCATGAATGTGCACGAAGTGTCTCATCCAAAACCCTTTGAATGTTGTTTGGGTGGGTAGGAAAGCTTGAGCTTGTGTGGGCGAGACGTCAATTTGAAGGGTACGAGGTGGTGAAGTTGAAGGATACGAGGTGGTGAAGTTGACTTTGTTTCTGCAAACTGATTTCGTGTCATTGAGGAGCTACGGGGAATAGAAAGCGGACTCACCCACAAATTCTGGATTGATTGACATAGGAGTTTGGATGCAGACATTGCAATGTTGCTAGAGACATGTTTACTCAGGCTTGCGCCAATATCATGAAGTTTCTTCTTCCCAGCAGGACCTCTAACGAACGGAAGCAATGGGCATGCAAACGATTGTACGCGGTCTATAATCATCGCTGGGACATCAGCCGTTTCAAGAGTCGACGTAAGCTCAGATTTGAGCGCAGCATGGGGGTAGGGGTGGCTTTGGTGGACGGACTTGGATTGGAGGGAGGTGCTGTGTGCTGGGACTGCATATGGGAGGAGCTAAAGGTCACATTTTCGCTGGATGTATGTATTAGGTCAAACTGGTGCTAAGTAACGAAGAACATGGAGGAAACAGACCTGGATAAGTGTCCCCACAGACCAGAAAGTGTAACCACTACCTATGAAACCATTTCCCGTGAGCTGAATTGTCACAATCTGTGGATACACGCACCTTGCCCTTTGTAATGGCGCCCCAGATTTCAGCCCACTCCTCTGTCTCACCATCTTGGAGGGTTGGTGCTGCGGAGAGACTGAGACTGGCGGTTGGGCAGTACTACCGGTTGTAGCTAATATCTGTCTGGGCGTGTATGGTGCATACTTTCGTGTTGAAGAAGACTGAGTTTCTCGTGTGGGACTGGGGAACAGGGAAGATGGACCAGTGTCACGAGTTCCAAATACAAACCATTATTCTTTCCTATCGACTGTCAACATTAAGCGCCCATTCCCAGCGCTAACTCCTAAATGCCCGACATATGTTCCAACTCTTAACCCTAACCCTATCGCTACGATAACCGAAATCCCAACTCCAGACTTAGATGCTCTCACATCATGTGATTCTCCTAGAACCTTCCAGAACTTCACAGCCGCAGCATCGCTTCTCATGACATCATAGTTCCTTTTCATCTTCTATAATAAAATCGCTCGGTCACGTGCACCAGAGACAAACTTGACAGACAAACTCGAAAGACATTCTCATTGGCTGGCTCAATTTTAAATTTTCATCACGTGCCTGACTCGCTGGCCAACCAGATTTTGGCGCTCGGCATACAGCGTAGCGCTACATACAGATTCAGTGACTCAGATGCACACACGTGCTGCTAATATCAGATCTGCGAGGTATGTGATTGCCTTCAGCTAACCTGTGGTCTTCTGAAGTGACTCAAGGCTTCACCAGTTCTCCGACAGATATTCTATCTGACACGTCTGCCACCAGTCGACATGCTTTGCAAGAGAATATCATTCTCCAGGTAACGTGGTATTCAACTCATTTCTTTACTTATTCTGTTCTTACTACCATCCAGCAGCAAGGCATATCTCAGCCACTCTGTGACACCTTGAACAGGCTGCCAAACACCGCTGTTGACAATCTACCAAGTTCGAAAACAGGTCATAGAAGCAAACGGACATGGGAGGACCGTGACGAGAATACCCCATGCACAGACCCACAAACTACCGACTCCCCGGCGCACAAGCGACGCGCTACGTCCAACGAGATCAGTGATCCGGTAAGCAGCTCTTGATTCTCTCGGTGCATGGGCTGACCATCATCTTTATCTTAGAATCGCACTACACGACACCAAGTTTATCCTAACTTTGTGCAGGGTTCGTCGCGAGATGCACAGAATGCACATGCACAGTCAATCACCTTCACTACACATCAGCTTAAGCATGAACCTGTACTTTCTCCCCCTGCCAACATGAATAAACGCTCGCTTGCTCAGCAGCGCCGTCGTGCACGTGAACGAGCTCAAAACGAGTCCATGCACTCTTCTCCTGAGTCAGCAAACAAGCGGTCACTTGGCCAGCAACGCCGTCGCGCACGAGAATTGGCTGAAAAGGAACTCATGCGCCCTCTTCCTGCCGAGTCAGTGAATAAGCGATCACTTGGCCAACAGCGTCGTCGTGCACGTGAGCGTGCAGAACAGGAACGCAGCTGCCGGGTGGGGACACCCACAGTTTCTGATGCTCGCACTGAACCACGTCTGGTACCTGTACTGAATTCTGACCAGCCGATTGCGGGAGTACCCATGGATGTTGATATTCCCGTCCGCTCACAATCGGAGCACGAACATGCTGAAGAGCAAAGCGAAGATGGACAAATTCATAATAATCGCCATGAGGTGTTTGAACGGCACCCTCCACCTGCGGCAAATGTCCTCGCTCGACCTCATCCACCACCCCCACCACAAAACAATGAGAATCTGGCTGTGCGCAGGGTTCCTGTCAATGTTCCTATTGCTCGACGTCCATATGTAGAGCCACACTCACGTCATGACCTGGGCCACATGACAGTGGCCTGTCCTCATTGTCAAGCATTTCACTGGATGGATGAGCGCCTCTCTTCATCATCGAATTCAAGACCATTATTTGGTATTTGTTGTGATCAGGATCAAGTTCGGTTGCCTCAGCTGCGTCACCCTCCACCCTACCTCCAGCAGCTTTTTGAGAGCCAAACGCCCGAGGCTATTGGGTTTCAGTCAAATATTCGCCAGTACAATGCTGGCCTTGCATTCACATCTTTAGGCGTTGATGTGGATCATGCCGTCAATGTGGGCAGGGGACCTCATGTGTTTCGCATTCATGGGGAGTTGTGCCACCGTATTGGCCATATCATGCCATCTGAAGGTCGGCATCCAGTGTACGCTCAGTTGTATATCTATGATCCTCGAATAGCCCTTGACGAGCGCATGCAACGCAATGAAAATCTTTGCCGACGTACCATGGAACGGCTCCAGACGCTCTTGCTTCAGAACCACCGATATGCCGCCATATTTCAACACGCACACGAGATCCTCGCCAATCAACCCGATGATTCACCCATCACCATTCGCCTACTTGCAGACCCCAGTCGTGATCGTCGTCGGTATAATCTACCCACTGTTGACGAGATTGCGGCAGTTATTCCTGGAGATGAAGCTGAATCAACAGGGTCGCGTGACATTGTCCTTCACCGACGCGAGGGTCCACTGCAGAGAATCAGTGATGGGCACCGTTCATATGCATGTTTGCATTATGTTCTGTTATTTCCTTACGGAGAAGATGGCTGGCATTACGAGCTACAAATGCACCAACCAAGTAAAGAGACACCCGGACGTCTTACACAGATTCGTTATGCGGCATACCGGCTCTTTCCACGCCCAAGCGAGTTTTCTACCATACTTCGAGGTGGTGCTCTTTTCCAGCAATGGACTGTTGACATGTTTGCGAGTGCTGAGCAGAATCGGCTCATGTACCTTCGCACACATCAGCCTCAGCTGCGAGCATCACTTTACAGTGGTTTAGAGGATGCTGTTGCAGCTGCTGGTGACCATGACTTGAACCTCCATGACCTTGGTCAGCGTGTCATACTTCCGTCGTCATACACTGGTGGCCCGCGTTATATGTATCAGTGTTATCAAGATGGTCTTGCGCTGGCCCGCTACTTCAAGAAAATTGATATATTCATGACTGTCACCTGCAACCCCAGGTGGCCTGAGATCGTGCGTGAGCTCCTGCCAGGTCAAAAAGCTGCGGACCGCCCTGACTTAGTGGCACGAGTCTTTCACATGAAAAAACGGGCAATTCTGGATTATGTCTACAAGAAGGGTGTGTTTGGGCGGACCGTTGCCTACATTTACACGATCGAGTTTCAAAAGCGTGGTCTCCCCCATATGCACATGTTGATTTTCCTCGATCAGCTGCACAAGCTCTTGACGCCAGCTGACATTGACACCGCCATCTGGGCAAGATGGCCCGATCCCCACGCACATCCACTACTCTTCGAGACTGTCAAAGCCTGCATGGTACATGGACCGTGTGGTGCTCTCAATCCCAATTCTCCATGCATGGACAATGGTCAGTGCATGAAGGGCTATCCAAAGCCATTCCAAGCTCAGACTACCATCAACCATGAAGGCTATCCACGATACTTTCGACCTGATGATGGACGAACCTTCAAGGTGGGCCAACATGACCTCGATAACCGCTGGATTGTGCCTTTCAATCCATTTATGTCGGCAGCCTTCGATTGTCACATAAATGTTGAATGTGCTGTGTCCTTTAGCTCAGTCAAGTATGTCAATAAATATATATGCAAAGGACAGGACCGTGCTTCAATGTCCATCGACTCCCGTGACGAGATTCGTCGGTTCATTGACGGCAGATATCTTTCTGCTCCAGAATCAATATGGAGGATTTTCCAATTTCATATCCATGAACAATCGCCTTCGATCACGCGACTGCAGGTCCATTTGCCTGGACAACATTTGGTGACCTTTGATCCTAACGAAGACCCGGATGCAATTCTAGAACGAGCAGCTGGCGAACGAACGACACTGACAGCATTTTTCAAAGCAAATGCTGATCCGGCACTACAAGTCGAAGCACGAAAATACACATATCAAGAATTTCCACAACACTTCACATGGAAGGCTACTACGAAGTCATGGAAACCACGAGAGAAAGGATTCGCATTGGGACGGATGTACTACGTCAGCCCAACAGCAGGTGAACGCTTCTACTTGCGTGTTCTTCTGACAGTTGTGAAGGGCCCAACATCCTTTGAAGACCTCCGAACATTCAATGGCACCACATATCCAACATTTCGCAATGCATGCCTCGCACGTGGCCTGCTGGAGGATGATGGAGAGTGGAGACAGTGCCTAGAGGAGGCATCAGTAATGCAGACTGGAGCACAACTGCGCCAGCTTTTCGTGACTCTCCTTTTGTTCTGCTCTCCCACCGACCCAAGAGCACTTTGGGATCAATTTTGGCTACACATTTGCGACGACCTGCGACATCGGCTCATTGCTACCCTACGCTACGACCATCCAAGTGATGATGATGTCTACGATTACGGCCTCTATTGTCTCAATGATATTCTGAGACAGTCAGGCACCTCATTAGAAAATTTCAATATGCCTGTACCACGTCGCAATTGGGCTGCCGGAGCTGACAACCGCCTGATTGCTGATCAGCTCGCATATGACAGACATGCAGAACACGAGCAGGAACGCATGCAAGTCCCTCTTCTGAATGTTGAGCAGAGAGAAGCTTTTTCACGCATCACCAAATCTATCGAGCACAAGCGGGGTGAAGTGTTCTTCCTCAATGGCCCTGGTGGAACTGAACAACTTTTGTTTACAAGGTTTTATGTCATCATGTGCGAGCTGCAGGCTTGATTGCGCTCTGTGTTGCCTCATCTGGCATTGCTGCGCTGCTCCTCAGGGGTGGCCGTACAGCCCACTCGATGTTTAAGATTCCAGTGGACAGTCTTCATGAAGACTCTTTCTGCAATATTCCAAAGGACGGGATGTTGGCAGGTCTTATTCGCGCGACAAGCCTTATCATCTGGGATGAGGCTGCAATGCAGACTCGAAATGCACCAGAGGCTGTAGACAGGTCCTGTCGTGATATTCGAAACAAGTATGATGTTCCATTTGGCGGAATTACAGTTGTGTTTGGTGGCGATTTTCTGCAGACACTTCCGGTGATCCCAAAAGGTTCGTACTACATATGATAATGCAACGACCAATTTGATTTAAATTTACTGCTTTCCATTTAGGATCTCAAGAGGACATTATTGCAGCGACAATTCAACGCTCCCCTCTGTGGAAACATGTACAAATTCTCCGGCTTGCACGAAATATGCGTGTCGAAAATGATCAAGACAACCAGAACTTCGCACAATGGGTTCTTGACATTGGTCATGGACGAAACTCAGATGCAGATAGCAGTGTCATGCTGCCAGAAAGCATGGTTACACACGATCTTGGGACACTCATCAACAATATCTATGGTGGAATCTCAAATAACTCACAGGGCCCTCCTCCCGCAGAATATTTCCAACATCGGACTATACTGGCACCACGCAATAGCGACGTTGATGGAATCAATAGGGAGATATTAGCCCAAATGGTGGGAGACGAGCACACATACTTTAGCGCTGACAAAGTTGTTCATGAAGAAGGTTCAGACGGAAATGACGCCAATGATTACCCTGTCGAATTCTTGCGCACACTCTGTGCATCTGGCTTGCCAGCAGGCGAACTATCATTGAAGATCGGTTGTCCACTTATCCTACTTCGAAATCTCACACCAAACCAGGGACTGTGTAATGGCACGCGTATGGTGCTCTTACGCATGTCAGAGCGAGTGCTCGAAGTCAAAATTCTGGGTGGTGATCACAATGGACAAACAGCTTTCATCCCACGCATTTCCCTCATTCCATCTTCAAAAACTGCTGATCTCAATTTCATTCTAAAGCGACGCCAATTCCCAGTCCGGCTCGCTTTCGCAATGACTATAAACAAGGCACAAGGGCAGTCTGTGAAGTTCATCGGATTGGATTTGCGCACACCTGTTTTTAGCCATGGTCAACTCTATGTTGCCCTCTCACGCGCTACATCTGGTCACAATATCAAGGTACTCCTTCCACCTGAAACCTCGAAGACACTGAACGTTGTGTATCCAGAAGTTTTAATTTGGTTAGTTTCATTATTCCGTCAGCGATTTCCAACCTTGCTAATCTACTGGCACGTTGGACTTGTCAGATTTGCAGTGAGATGATAATGCTGGGTTGAAGTTGCTTGGTTCACTCATTTTCATAATGATATCTGTGTCTAACATTTTGTGTGATGTTTGTTTTTGCTCAGAGATTAATCCCTAGCATGATCATAGGCAGCATCTCTGCTGGTAACCCTGGCGGTCACTACTCGCTTCCGCTGCGCAACCTTAACAACCATGATGACAAGTTCCGTCACTGTCGTAGGTAGCTTCGCGAACTTTCTGTGTCTTTCCGCTACCCTTGGCGTCGTCATTCCCAAGTTTCAAGAGTATAAATGCTGCAAGGTCTGTGATCCAGACTCAGTGTGCTTGCTCAAATCTTCCTCTTTTTTAGTTACTTTCTCTACCATGACCAATTCTAGCGCTAGCTCCGCTACTATTGTCGCTGTCGCTGTTTTTGAGAACGGACGAGTCGCTGAGGGACAGGGCATGACTCTTATATTTGATGCCCAGATTTACCTTGGTGAATCCTGTCCACCGCTTTTAGCAGCATTGCGCTTCTTCAACTCGACCAATCGTGCTTTCGATGAAATTGGTTTCTACTTTGTTGTTGCAAGGGTGAGTTCTACGATAACTGATAGCTAGGTCCGTCGGCTGAGCTCTACATCAGGTGGCAAAAATGGAATCTGGAGCGCGCCTCTCACTTCTTCCAGGAATGGAAGAAATGGACTACGATTTAGTTGGTGATATCATCAGGGCACGTCTTTCTCTGTTTCATTCGTGATGACATTGAAATTTACTTGGCATTTTAGTTGATTCCTGCTGGCCAAGGCATTGAACCCACATTCACCCCCTACATCGAAATCTGTGGCACGGTCAGCGCTGTCGACGACCTTGCACGGTCATTCTACATTGACGCTCATCAGTATGTTGCTGCTCTTAAACCGGAACCATCGAGCACCAACTTCAGGTCATTAATGCCGGTCGAGTGTACCTTCCCTGACACTGCTAGATGGAAGAAGTCACTGTCAGGGAAGAGGTTTATTGTACAACCCAATAGATATGTTAGTATCGGGGGATTCATTGTTGGCCGCAAGACTACCAAAGTTGGCGACAAAAATGAGACTCAGCGCTTCTGTGTCGAGGTGGATAACATCACATTCCTTGGCCGTCCTGTCGTTGCATCGACTGGTTCAAGTTCACGTGGTGAGTACTAATTTTCCGTCTTCTCGCTATAGGCTGAATCATTCTTACACACTGTACATGGCAAGGCGCTACTTCTACAACCCCGACTCCAGGCCGATCGCAGTTGAAATTCAGCTTCTCACAAGTCGACCGCACGCCAGCAAACAAACGCTCTTTACTCGACCGTGACGATACTAGCTCTGAGGACGGTACACCATCCAAACGTGCTCGCACCTAATTTTGAAGGTGAATGTGAGTGTAATCACAGTTACTGCACATTAATTTCACATTTGCTACTTACCTATACATGTATTCGCTATGCCATGTTTTGAATCTATCGGTGCACCTTTACATTTACTCTGAGTCAGACGATAGTCCACCGTGGCAAAGCCACGGGTTACTGCTAGTACTATCACATCGTACGATTCCGTTTCTTATTTTATGATTGGCTAGTAAGTTAGAACTCAGTTTGTATCTCCTCTTGAATAGTTGTATATAGTTAGGACATTTCTAGTCAGTAGTTCTTTAGTTCAAACCTTTCGTCTCTACATTGTGTAGCAGCCCAAACGTACCTGCTCAATCTCATCTCTATTATTGCGATATCCTTTGTTTGAGTCCTAGTCTCTGCCCTAGCATTAAGTTGTTTAAGGGGTTGTGACAACCAGAAGAGAGGAGTGGGTGAGTGGTGAGATTGTCACGAGAGACAGTCCTTGCAAATTGCAATAGATGCGCCTTGGACGTGTCCAATCAATGTAGGAGGAAAGTGTCCCTCTCGTCATGTAGTCATTATGGTGTAACAGTCGAGTCTATCCAGAGATACGCAGTTGTCATTGCTGATCCGCGTTGCAGCAAGCCGCGGCTTGAGCCACCGGCTTAGGCTTTCCAAAATTGAAGCCCAGGCCCAAGCCTTGGGCAGGCCGTGACCTGGGCCTGGGCTCTGCTCTGCTTATTTAGGCCCGGCTTCGGCTGGCCCGGGGCTTGAAGCCGGGCCGGAACATCACTAAGCACGACTTCTCTGATGCCGATCGCGCATCAGTCCTGATCACCGACAACAAACTATTTCAACCTATGACTTGCGGCGTGAACAGGATACGATCAATCCCCGCACTCGTGCCGACATTATGGTCCTCTCCCACGAAGAGGAGAAGACTCACCCTTATTGGTATGCCCGAGTGATCGGTATATTTCATATCAATGCAGAACATCAGAACGACAATGGACTATACTCACGCCCAACACGGATGGACTTCCTACTTGTCCGTTGGTTCCGACAGGATAGTTCGCGTGCAGGTTGGGCCGCAAAACGACTCCACCGCCTTGAGTTCTTCGACGAAGACAGCCCTGATGGATACAAATTTTTGGACCCGGACACTGTTATTCGTGGGGTGCACTTAATTCCAGGGTTTGCATATCCTATTGATCCCAATGATCTGAATTCTGACAGCCGGTTCTACTATTTGAATATGTGCGCACTCATTTTATTTTATTTATTGTCACTATTTTAATTCTAACTAAATGACTAATAGATTTGTTGATCAGGATATGTTTATGAGATACCGGGGTGGTGGAATCGGTCACAAGGCTACGCGGGACTGGAACGATTTTCTTCAGCATGAAGGACACGGAGCGGAAGAAGCACAAGAGGCCGACGAGGCAGATATTGATATCGGGGATGATTCAGAAGAAGATGTCGAGGATATATGGAATGATGAGGATGATGATCCGGATGACTGGAATGATCCGGATGATGAGGATCGAGTTGTAGCTGATAAGGGCGAGGAACTCGATGACAATGTTCTCGCCGAGGAAGGCTATGGCGCGCTTTGATCTTAATTTTAATCATTGGTCGTGTTCCTCGATTTCTGGACCCTTCTGGACTCTGCTCATTAAACAGCTTACCCGGCACACCGGTACCAACGAGCTTACACATGGCGCTGCACATGTTTGAAGTTGACTTTTTTTTATTTACATATCTCTAGGATACTGTCAATACATTGTTGTCTAATATGTATCATGTAGATACAAGGACTATCAACTCATTGTCAGTATGGCAGTGTGGTGAAGGGGTGTGCGTCATCCTGAGATACTCGAGGGTGTTCCAATATCATGTTGATGTGTTGCTGACGTCACACGTAATTGTTTGGTTGTTTGTTGTGGCGCGAGGCAGTCTAAATCGGGTAATGACTGACTTCAGCAATTTTTGTGATGCTATTTGCGCAAGTCTATGACAACGAGTCACTTTTCACGTTTCGCATCCACAGTAGCCAAGACTGCTAACAGAGATAAGGTTTCGTGCAATCCCTCAATTGAGGAATGGCCAAGCTCATGCTACGTTGCCTGTACATGTAGACATTGGATAAAATGGTGATGCTGGTTTGACTCCATTCCCCACATCACAATTTTAACATCGTATTTTATGCGCGCAGATTTGTGCAGTTTCCCATGTGCTAGTTTGTAGAACGGGCGTTGTGAATGGTGCTATATATCAAGAGTATCTCGCAAAAAGGAAAGCAACACACGCCCGTAAGGCTGACCGCTATCACCCTACAGGTCTCGAAACTTGCGAGTCTGCAACAGGGTCGGACGTTATAGTCTGCCTCGTTCAATGAATGATCACTGTTGAATGCAGAAGCTCTTATTGTACAGAGGTATACATCGGTGTTTGACTCGATGAGAACGTGATGGATGTGTCTCGTTCATATTCCGGGTTCCTAAATCGAATACACACAGCGTGTCACGTTGATGCAATAATGAATGTGAAGAGTGAAAATACAATATAGAAATTGTTAGCGGCAATAATGCTAGAAGCAGAAACAACACCGGTCGCCTCCATGCTCTCCAGCTTTGGTCTGTGCTGCTGCGGCTGGTTGTTGTGAATCGGGGTTCGGTGAAGGCGGGTCGAAGTATTCATCGGGTACTATATCATCATTTTTTTGGGGAGCATCCGCTGAAGCATTGCGCTGTAGATGAGTGCGTGAGACTAGAAGACAGTGAGAAAACCCATTTGAGCATACCTCTTTACCCTGCGCGAGAGGAACATCAACAATAGGCGGCTGCGCATGTCTCACACGAACGGGCCACCAAGTTGATAAATGGTGTGGGCGGGTATTGGAGGTTGCAGATGATTGGGTGATTGGCAGTGATCGAGACTGAAAACAGTGAGTAGAGTACGTGACGGCAAGTATCCAAAACTCACGTTCTCGCCGGAATTGATATCTGAACGTCCTTGAGTTGTGGTGGGCTCCGAGAGAGGGTGAGGTAGAGGAGACGTAGCAGGGAACTACATCATGAGTGTCCAGTCAACCGCGAAAGAGAGAAGAAAAGAGACATACATCCAGAGGACCACGATGTTGATCGTTCCGAATAGGAGGGACTGCATTCGTGCGAGAAGGGAGTCGAAGAAGTCTGTGAAGGCGAAGGAAAATGGATGATTGTTGGTTTATAGTGGGCGGTCTCTGCGACATAGGTGTGATATATATTGGCGGTTTGCTGTGCACGGCAGGAGGACGACGAGTGGCATCAGACTGCAATAATGGTAATGGATGAGCAGTGTGATAAACAAACGAATGAAGTGCATACTTTTAGTACATCACTAAGGGTTGACTTGTTGCGTGCACTGGTCTGTAAGGGAACGGTTAGCACACAGACAGTAGATGTTTGTGAGGAATGCGTACACGGGCCTGAGCAAGGATGTCAGGTGGAGTGTTGCATATGTAGATATTGTAATCATCTTGGGTGTATGTCGTATAAGCTAGCCTGCGCGAGTCGGGTGAGAGGATAAGCGTCCTAGGATTCTGAACGTTGAAGGAAGCGAGGAGTTGGCGGGACTCAAAAGCCCAGAGCTTGATGGAGTTGTCACGTGAAGAGCTGGCAAGGAGAGTGTAATCGGATGAAAGTGTTAGACCACGAATTAGATCAGTGTGCCCTTCGAAGGGAGTTCCGACAGTCTCCAGTGTCGATGCGTCGAACTCGTTGATCGTCTTGGAGTCATCAAATCTCGTGAAGTTAAATGCAGCCAAAATATTTTTGTTCTTGTTTGTCCAGAACATTGGCGCAGATGTTGGTTCTATTCCACCGGGTTTCTCTTTCCTCACATCCAATTTCTGTGTTTTGACATCCCAGACCTCAAGCCACATCCCTGTAGCTGAGTTGATTGCGAGCTTCTTCGAATCTGTCGAGAATCGAACTGCGGCTACCCAATCAATGCTCTTGAATGGACCAGCCAGGAGTGTGCTGGTTTGCAAGCTCCATATCCGCGCTGTCCAATCATCTGACCAGCTCGCCATCAGATTGCTATCCGCTGAGATATCAATGCACATTATCCTCCGTGTGTGGCCTTCAAATGTTTTCACGATCCCCGTCTCAACCTCATAGGCTTTCAGCTCCGGACTATTGTCCTCTCCACCAGCAGTGATAACCCATCGACCATCCCTTGATACCGCCACTGCATATACCTGCCCCTCGCAAACACCCTGTGCTTCCTTAATCTCCTTACCCGCCACCAGATCCCATTGCCGAGCGGTCTTGTCCCGAGATCCACTGACCATTCGCTGGCCATCAGGAAAGTAGGATATGGATTTAATGTACTGTCCATGACCCTTCAAAGTTGTTACCGGTTTCAGAATTGATTTTGAAATAGCTGCCTTGGTTGATGCGGAAGCCATGGCTGCGTCTCGGCGGGCGAAAGTGTTGGGTAGTCAAGTACTCGAAAGGGATTCTCTGGACGCGTTTGAAGGCACGTCGAGCTCTCCTAGTGCGTTGTTGGCCTGGTGTTGAAGATTCCTAACTCGAGCGCTTGAACGCACTTTGCCTCTCCACTATTTGGGCTGATCGTCAGTTCATCCGTGCTGAAACTTCAGATATATTGTTACCAAGAAGCAAGCAATGGCCCAGGGATAAAGAGGGAGGAATTCTACAACGTGAGTATAGCTGTCGTCCTTGCGAGATGTGCTACTTCTCACATCTGCTTCTCCTTGCTTTTGACTCTCAGCCTGTCACAGCCATGAACGAAATTCCTGTGCTAGAGCGCCAATCTCGTTTCTATTTCCCACCTTCCAATGTTGCTGTGTGCTTTTGAGTGGCATATCTAGATGGCCCGAAATGTTTGAGATGCTGTAGTAATCAACCCTTAGCATTCACTTTCTTCGTTGTAAGACAAGGCCGTCATCATGTACTCGATTTCGCTTTGGGCGCCATGGCGGTATTAAACGTTGTATGGTGATTACATTTCCTCATGCCATCCTCTCAAACGTTCTCGAGTATACACTCATCCTTCCGCTTCCACAACTACTCGACACACCATTGACGAGGTGCGTGAATAATCTGTCCAGAGCCTTGATCTCCGAAGCCCTTACCATCGATGCTGTCAGTATTGGTATTCACTTCAGTGTCTCGAACAAAACTGCCAGTTAAAGCATGGAGCAACGCGTAGAAGCATGTCGGATTTGCGAAAGTATAATGTCTTGATTATTACCTTTGTCATCGACACTTTATCGAAAGGAGGACTTTGATTTGATCACATTCGAACCAGATTCTAAGCGTGCATTCCCTCTCCACTTTGTCGACATGCAGCACGGCACCACCAAAAAGCGGCTGAACTGCATTTCAAGATTCAACCAGAATTCCCTTAGATTCAACAGACTATCATTTCTACCGACCTGGAATCCTTTGTTTTTTCAATTTCAAGTGTTTTTACATCGAACTGACCACAAGACATATTCAGATCAACATTTTTCGCTATGATGGTGGTCGGCCTCAGGCACTCGCAAGCCGGATTCATCGCCCAACGCCCAATGCCCGACTACATATACCCCTCTCCCTCTCTCTACTACTCCACATATTCCGCCGAGCCAAGGTAACAGATCCAACAAACCCTGTACAGCATCGCACATTCCCTCCCTCCTCGAATGCTAGCAATACCCAGATGCCCTCGCACACCTCTGCCCCCATCAATTTCCTCACACCCTCCCTACGCACACTCACCACCGCCACCACAACTCCAGGTCACGCCTCCTTCTGGAACGTTTCAAATGTGGACACATCTTGCCGCATCCCGACGACGACGACCTCGATGATTATGTGGCGTATGAAATCCTGTGGGACTTCTGTGGAGACGGTGGATATAGGTCCTCCTGGTGGGTCATAATGGGATACGCACATAGTGATGGGTGAGAGGACAATGGTAATGGGATTCCAAACATTGAATGAAGCCAGAAGTTGGCGGGACTCAAAGGCCCAGACCTGAAGAACTGGCAAGGAGAGTGCACTGACAATACAATGTTCGTAGTCAGCAGAGTCTCATCAATAAAATCCCAAACCCTCTTACCTGAATTAGATGCGAATCGAGATAAGGCAAAAAGTGCCCATGGATATGTTTTAGGTCCGACGAAAGGATCATGATGGGTCCTTATATACCTCAATACAAACGATTCACAGAGGTCGGAGCTGCGAGTAGACAGGTGATGAACGTTGCTGGGTAAGTTGGGTTGTGGGGCTTGTGTGCGTGCTATGGCACAACAACTTACTACCTAATCCACCAGCGTCAGAATGAGCGGGATATGTGGGCGCCAAGATATAGTGCCCAACAGCTGTTCGAACGCAGGGCATGAATTCGTTAGCGAAAAATAGTGTCGGCAGGTGGAGAAGTGGCTCTTGAGCATCCGGATGGGGAGAAGGGGAGCACTGAGTAAGGATGCCCGTTATAAGTGGGCAAAATATCCACGGTACAGTGTCCAGAGTGATGTTAAAGCTCATCTTGGGACAAGACAAGAAGAGGCGGAAGAAGTTGGGATAAAGATATCTATAGGTCAGTGAAGATTCGATACTTGGTCATTGATATCGCAATGCAAACAACATGCTCAGAGTCGGAAAAAGTGAGAGCTGTCCAAGGAAAGTACCTTACTGGTGTTTGAGGGGTGTCATATGTTGAGAAGATTGAGGGGCAGACAAAGACCATTACAGAACATATTGTGCGGACTTCTGCTGAGGGCGAGTGAGTGCGAAGAAAAACACTGTAGCACCGTGGAAATGAACAAAAAACGCAGTCTCTGCCTTGCCTAGATAAAGACTATTTCGTCATTTCAACGCATGCCATCACGATAGAGATCGCCTTGTGGAAGGCGATGATGGTGAATAAGGAAACAACTTTGATTTGTATTTGTCATTGTTTGTTACGCAGACGAACGTCGCGTTCAACGTTGAACTCAAGGTCAGGCGTTAACGTTCTTCAAACGTTCAGGCTGCAGGCAGTGAAGATGATTATTGATAAAGGCCTGCTGATTTCGACTTCCTTCGCTTTTAATTAATTTTGATTACTGAACTCGAGAAAGACACTGATCCAGATCAACGTTCGTATCGATAGTCCTTTACTCGCAAGCCGGATTCATCACAACACCCAATTATACACACTCTCTCCCTCCAATTTTCACACTGACTTAAGCCCCCTCGCCCACCCCCACACCACTAATTCTGGCGCCGACGAAGTAGCTGACCCAATTGCATCCGCCCTGCACGACCTCATGCTCGATCCCTCCTCCAATGCCACACGCATATACCCTCCCCCACATCCACCCCATATCAATATCCATATCAAAAATACTACACGCCCCCTCACCGCCACCAAAACTTCATCACGTATGCTGCCACGCCTTTTTTGAACTTCCAAACACTGGCACGTCTTGCCACCTCCCGCATGTCGGTTAACGCCCCTTGTTGATCGTGCTGCGTATGAGAGACACTATGCTGTTGTGTGGAGTGTCAAAGGGATTGTGGATATGGGTCCTCCGGATGAGTGGTGCTATGAGGGGAGATGCACGGTGAGTATTTTTATCGTATGTCTGAGTCCAAAGGCTGATTCAAGGTACAGACAGATATAAAACGCGCGCACTTCTGTGCAGATTCAACCGTCCACATCGACAGGCTATTCCCGTGGCCGTAAACGCAAGCAGAGCGTATTCATCTCCAGTGGTGACCTGAGCACGATCACAAGGATGAAAGACACAGGTAATTAAAGGCACACGCGAAAGTAAGTCAGTCACTCACACCGCCCTCAACAGCATCAGCAGCTACTAGTACGAAGTGCTTACAAGGCTCATCCACATGCACGCTCTACCAAGCCTGGAGCATCCCACTCACGCACATGAGCACCCTCCATTCCAACTTCGAATTCTTGGCATCAGCATACTGTCTACCATCGAATTTCGCGCACACCGATAACAGGACTTGTGCATGGTGCACCCCATACAGCTTGTCAACGCGACATCCCTCAGTTGAAGAAAAGTGAATGTTACAAGGACAGTCTGCCTGTATCGCTGACGACTGGAGGAAATAATCGGAGGCCGTCGTGGTGTGATTGATTTTTTTTGTCGTGTTTTAGACTTGTTTTCATGTTGATTTCTTTTGCAAGTGTGGCCGAGACTAGCTGTCTCAGAACCTAGGCTTAACCATTCAAGGGACTCTCCTTGTCTCAGCATGCAGCTGACAATACTCAGTCGCCAGTAGAATTCTGTACAATGTGTCAATGCATCGCGCCTTATATGTACATCAGTTAAGGACTTACTTTTCAGGATAATCAGCGGAATAAGAGAAAAAACGAGGAAAAACTCGCTGTGTGATCCCATCAGAGCACCAGATCACAATTCCGTGCTCATACGCCTCCATAAACTTTCCATCCAAGATCAGACCCCATATGGCGTGCATTAACTCCCTTTTGAGGTGAGTATGTACGTCGGCCGTTGTCGCCTCACCAAATATATCCACGTAGATATCTTGTAAATTTTTTGGAAGCTGAGAGAGATCGAGTAAGCGCAAGATTTAATAAAAAAAAAAAAAAAATATGTACTGTAGGAATGTATGCCAAATGATGACATGCACGAGCTGTTGGTTTTCCTCGCGTGTACTTGGACTGGTTACCGAAATACACGTAAAACGGCCAGAGAGACGCGTCACCAAAGTTAGCCAGGTGCGTGGCATCCGACCAGACCATAACGGAAGCAACGGCACGCTCAAGCTCATCTCCAGGCGCGCGTGGAAGTGCGTTGATTTCTGTGTAAGCTTCAAGCATAGCTGGGGAGGCATAAGACTCGCCAAAAACTTTGATATCGCGGTTGTCAGGGGTTTTCCAAAATTGTTGGAATGGCGTCATATTGAATGTCTTCGATACCTCATTTTCGAACACGTGTGTGATGAGATCGGTAAGGCAGCGGTGATGAACGCCTGGAATCTCGAGCTCAGGGGCATCGGCTTCTGATGCGAACTTCACTTTCTCTTTTGGTAAACGAATCTTGACGGTAGATTGGCGCCATCCATACTCTTCCTGAAAAGGGTTAGACTTATTCTTGAGGTACTCGTCCAGTAGTTTGAGTTCGCGTGTGTGATTCAAGCCGTTCAAGTCTTCCAGTCTGAACAGAGGGTCCTTGAGGAAATGAACGAGACGATCCCACTCGGCACCAGACTTTTCGTTTGTTCCGGTGTACTGCCACGCCATCAGAATACCCGCAGAAGGGTTCGTAAACGCTTCGAAAAGCTGATCGGAGGAAATCTCGGGGGAAGGAAGTCCTGGATGAGCGATCGGGGTGACACGTTCCCCATCTAATGTGGGAGCATCAGTTACGCCCTGCAAAGTCACGTTGGCTTCTGGGGCTAGAGTCGGACGCATTGGATATACGCGGTAAAGTCCCATAGCGTCGGGTTCTGTCTGGAATGGGATAAGGGCAGGGGCGGTGTCTTCTGGATCAGAAGTAGGGCCTGGGGATGGTGGTGGTGGTTGATCGCGATCAGATTGATCCGCCTGTTCAGGCGGATCACGTCCTCGTTGCTGCCGGTTGGTTGGAGGCATATGAGCGAGGTGGGTAGCGCTCCCTGGAAGGTAGTCGACGAAGCGCCGTGGCATGCGCACTGTGCGTCCAGAGCGCTTTGAGGTGACTGGGGGAGGGGGTGAGGGTAAACGCGGGATATTTGACGGTCCTGCTGTATCCTCGGTCTTGTTAAATTAGCGTAGTTAGTTTTATTTTAATAGAACACTCGTCATAACGACTCACCTGATCGAAACCGCCGGTGTTCTCAACATCATAGTCCAGTTGTTCTCCGGCATCTGTCCCTACCTGAATTACCTCTGCACGCTCACTGCGTGCTCTCTTGGACTTCTTGCTGTGAGTCTTTTCCGACCCGCGTTTCTTCTTGCTGCGGTGCGCTGTATCTGCTAGTTTCAATGCTTTGTTTTGTGAGCAGCGAGCGGCATGTGCAGATAGAGATTTTTGGGCTGCAAATATCTTACTGCACCCAATGCAAACAGGCGCGTCCATGGGACTGGGCACAAAGGGCGCCAGGATAGTGGAGAGAGTGGAGACTGAATTATAACCTAGACTTAGTTTAAATCAATCTGATGAGAAGGAAATCGTGATCTGATTGCGCAAGCCGCAAGCTGAATACAGTACATGAAAATATACTATTAAGACAATCTGCAAGGGTGAGTTATTGTTCGGGGTGGGTTGGGGAAGGAACATACCTAAATAAATGACCAATTTACGGTCTCCGAGGCCCCGGGTTGGTCGTGTCAAAGTGTCTTGCAAGTCCTGGACCGAGGTATCCCTCAAGAATCGCGTGGATCTTAAACTAAACGCGTGGATCTCAGACTAAACTTGCAGTGGGATGTCTGAATGCGACTCACCTGATCCAGTAGACATTTGAGTGGGATGTTTGGTGGTATGTTGCGCAGTAGACATCTGAGTGAGATGTGTACATCATGATTGCGCTGGATAAAACTCACCTGAACACATCATCACATATGACATGATATCATTGACTCGCAGTGTGATCGAAAGTCTAATGATCGAAAACATATGAGATCAGTGCATTGCGCCGGAAGAGACTCACCTGATCATATCAGTACGCATCACCATGGCATATAAGTTTAATGATCGAAACATACTTGATATCAATTTCAATCTCCGCCGGTATCTTGCGGTGTGCGGATGTAAAATTTTCGACTATCCCCATTTTGTCTTTTCATATCGATTGTTTCAAATATGACTACTACTACTACATCTGATGACTGGAACGCTGCTGTCAACATCCTTCATAATGTTGTATTCCTTGACATCCAAAATGTCATTTCGTTGAACGGTACCTACTGCTTCAATTTGAATATCGAGTCTCCTGGCGTCAAGGTATGTTTTATATAGTCACTCTTAATGCTGATCTTATTTTTATCACACAGAAGATTGTTTTCCGCATCAGAAAATGGGATATCGAGGAGATAGAGGATCCGGGTGTGAAGACCAAGGAGGGTGAGAATATCGAGGACCCTGAGAGTCTGATTTCTGAGTATGTGCTACGGCTGTGTTCATTTCAAGTGTCAACTGATCATTTCTACAGGCCCATCATCGCGTCCCCGTGCAACCTTCTCACCAGGCGGATCGGTAACCCCAATCCAGATCCCGAAAATCCGCTTGCGCCTTGGAGTTACTGTGTCTCCAAAAGATCCGCTGATGTGCTGGAGGACCCAGAGGCGACAACTGAGAAGCGCCAGAAACTTGACGCGTGATTGACGCGTATTTTTTGCTACTGTACTAGATACTGTATAATATTGCTCAATTGTACATCGCGCCGTCTTGCTCAATCACACCATTTTTTTGCTCACTGATCCGGTGCTTGATATCAATTAAATCTCCGATATCAATAAGCCCAAATAACCTTATACGATTATGACGCATCCCATATCTCCTTCTGTCTCCTCCATATTTTATCATCATGGGTCACCACAGGAGATTCTCCAGTCCCATCTCAACTTCACAATCCGAGTCAGAGAGCAGCGATCATGATCATGCATCGTCCTCGGAGGAATCAGCTGCCTTGTCCGTGGATAAGTCGTCTTCTTTGGGTAAGTATCCGTATTTCTGGGAATGAAGTCTGATCGCAACACATCTTACGCGTTTCAGGGCCTCGAAAGGGGTCGGCCAAGCCTACAAAGCATGAGAAAAGATCTATCAAGTAAGTCGTCATTAATATTCGGCCGCATTGTGTTACTTATAGCGCATATACCCACAGGAAAGCTAATAATGGCACCAATGAAAAGTAAGTTCACGATCACGCGTGTTCATGCCGTGATCTTGGTGCGATCAAGATGCTGATCGATTGATAGGAAAGAACCAGGCACTTATCGGACTGGGAGGGAAGTGTGCATGCACGTCGCACGCTGGATCCCTCGTGGTATCGACATGTTTGTCATACTGAAGGATACTTTTCGCATTGCCAGGTATATGGAAGCAGAAGAGGCGGCCAAGAACTCATCCGAACCCGAGGAAGAAGACAGCAAGAGGGAGCGAAAAGAAGCTCTTAGCGTCTTGTAAGTAGTTTCTGCCGTTTTTTTTTATCCGGTATACTAACTACCTTATGTACAGGTCTAAGGATGCTCAAGAGCATCACCTCAAGATATACCAGAGGATTACATCGTCCGCGCCTTATCTGCGCACTCTCATCCGAGGCCGTCACAACAGAAAGAAGCTGGAGACTGAGTTGAATAGCATTTTATCAGAGGTATGTCTTTTAACTAATCCTATTTTACAATATCTAACACACGAGAAGATGCAGGAAATCATCGGCCAAATTCGGTCTGAGGATGCCAGTCACCTCAAGCCCTTCATCGGGAATTACGCGGCTCCTCAACCTGAGGAAAGGGGACTGGAACCTCCAATTTTCTCGGAGAACAAGAAGTCCCGCGCCAGAATGGGTGTGAATCACCCGCAGCTGGCAGGCATGCTGTGTCCGATCAAGCACGCGAGTGCATACCACGATGATCCGAAGAAGTAAGTACTTACTCTATCTTAATTTCAGACGTGTTTGACAAGTCTCTCAGCGTGCAGGAACAACTTCAAAACGGTAACATCAAAATGACCGCAGGCACCTGGCCTGCATTAGCATACCCTGGGGATCCTCCTGGTGCGGACTTCGATATCGAAGACGTCCAGGAAGGTTTACTCAAGGGACACCTAATCAAACGGGTATGTTTTTTCTTCTTCGTTATTTTTATTTGAACAAAATTGTTTGTAGGTTCTTCGGCACATCTATACTAGTCCCTCATCCGCACTCGTTGAAGACGGAGAGCTGTCTGCTACACGATCAGGCAATGCTAAGTTACACGGTATGTATAAAGTTGAGGCGGAACACATCGCATATGCGTTCGTTCAGGTACGTATTTATTTTTCTAGTACATTAATAACTCACTGGCATTCTAGAGTCGGTTTGGGATCTCATCCCGCGATAAATGGCAAGAGATGGACGGTAAGTACAGCTACCGCGATGCCTACTACCGCACAATCCGAGCAATCCGAGAACCATTCGACGAAGCATGGGCCGAGGACCTCTTGGAATGGTGGAACAAGTAAGTTCTTTTTTTTTTCTACTTGCGATACTAATTCTACCCAGGGCGGTGTTCGGTAACAAACGGGGTGTTCCGTTGTTCGATATCAGCGACGACGAAGACGACGACCTCGCGCTGATGAAGAAGCAATCTGTAAAGCACGCCGCAGCAGCGCGTGCAAAGGTTTTTTTTATTCTATCCTATAACACCTTGAACTAATTGTTCATCTTCAGTCTACCGCCTCTACCTCTGTCTCTCCCCCCGTTGAAGCAGAGCCTACTGTCGATCACCCAGACATTTCAATTGTACATCCTTCTCTGCCAAGTACTTCTCCGCCTCCCGTTGAAGAAACCGTGGTCCCACAACCGACGTCCATTCCTAGGCCCCGTCCTGTCAAACCAGCTGAGAAATCAACTGGCGACAGCTCATCTTCTGCACCCGCGTTGCCGACTGTGGCCCCTCCGAAGCCTGATGCTGTTGCTCCTGTTTCTGACAAGAGCAAGAAGCGAAAGTCAGACGAGTTGGAGGTTGGCGGCGAGAGCTCCCTGAGCGAAGTCGAGTCTGACGTCCCAGTCGCTCCAAAAGGTGCGAAGAAGCGCCGAAAGAAGGCTACCGCTACCGCACCCAAGAAACGCAAAGGGCGAAAGTGATTCACGTTCTCCGGTATGTGTTCACTCTTTTTCTGTATGTTTACCTGATAGTGCTATATATTCCAGCTCATCCGACCCAGCATCCACTTGTTCACATCCCCCATCACTATATGTTGCTCTTCGTTTGTCCTTGTGCATTTTTCTGCAGTTCGCACATTTGCTCTCATTGCTGTCACACTCGTCCACGATATTCCCAGATTCCCAGATTCACTCTCGTCGCTGTCATACATTCCTCATCACGGAGTTCAATTTTCACCATCGCATTAACCGTAGATAAGTGTATGTAATTGATGTCATGTACTACAAGAATGATACATGCTTATACTACCATACCTCCGCTATAAGTCATTATAAGGTGCCTTAAGTTGCTCAGGCCTGCTCAGTAGTGCGCCATATGTTCAGATATGACGCATGACGCATCAGATGATGATCATATGATCTAAAAATCAGTTTCTTGATCTGATCATATATTATGACCTGGGCCTGGTCTGGGCTGATGGGCCATGATGGCTGTGGTGGGGCTGATGACGGATGATAAGATCTTATCACACCTTATCTAGGTTTTGGACTTTTGGTGATGAAGAAAACAACTTTGATTTGTATTTGTCATTGTTTGGTACGCAGACGAACGTCGCGTTCAACGTTGAACTCAAGGTCAGGCGTTGTTCAAACGTTCAGGCTGCAGGCAGTGAAGATGATTATTGATCAAGGCCTGCTGATTTCGACTTCCTTCGCTTTTAATTAATTTTCATTAGTGAACTCGAGAAAGACTCTGATCCAGATCAAACTCCACACTAGTGATTCTGATATCGACGAGTTAACAGACCCAATGGCATCCACCATGTACGACCCCGTCTGCCCGATCCCTCCTAGGCCTCCAAAGCTACACGCATATACCCTCGCCCAACTCCACCTTATATCAACATCCCCACCAACAGTACTGCGCCCATTTCTTCTGCGCCCACTCGCCGCCACCAAAACTCCATTGCGTGTGCTGCCACACCTCCTTTGAACGTCCAAACACCGACACGCCTTACCCTATCTTACGTGCCAGTGGGATTCCCTCGTTGATCACATAGCATATGAGAGACGCTATGCTACTGTAGGGAGTGTCGAAGAGACTGTGGATATGGGTCCTCCAGATGAGTTGTGCTATAAGGATAGAGGCACGGTGAGTGTTTTTCATGTACTTTCAAGTCTCAAGGGTACAGACAGGTATGAAATGCTCAAGGTTTTGTGCAGGTACGACCGTCAAAATCGATCTTGTGATCCTATGCACACTTGGCTGGAAACGCAAGCAGAGCGTATCCGTCTCACGAAGAATAATGACACAGCCAAGGCACACACGAAAGTAAGTTAGCTACTCGCACCACCGTCAAACCCGTTTCAAATACATCAACAGCTACCAGTCTCACCTAATTCAATGGCTTCCACACCGATGCCCTCGCCCTCACCCCTCCAAAAGTCGTACCTCCACATCCTCAGCCCCGTCAATCTAAACACACAACGGACTCCTACCAAAACTCCACCTCCACCCAATCCACATTACCTCTCCCATCAGAGACGAACCGCGATTGACAGACACGTCACACGCAGGTTCATCACAATTGTCACTGACGCGTGTGCATACCGTCAGAGTCAGCAGCCTGCGTGCATAGCACCACAGATTCCACGTAAGTACAAGCTTCGCAGGTTACAGTAACATCTAAACGGAACGCACTTTGCGGAGGTTGGTTCGTCACCGTTAGAAGCACTTACTATTCTATAGGTCTGGCTAGGGGAGACTAGCTTGTCGCACTCCGTTGATACTTTCGGTACCCCACCCGGAGTATGAGGGGGTTAGGTTAGCGAGTGTACGAGAGGACGCGCACACGACTTTTCACGTCGCTGATGCTGAATTCACAGACACTCAGCATGCACGTTACTAGCCAATACGTCAACTTCACCACCTCCACATCCTTCCAAAGGTGATCACAGCTCCATTACCCAGGGCACAGCAACCCCAAACATCGACATTTCCTTCCCATGATCATCAGCAGCCCCGATGCGATTAGAATTTTGCAAAAAATAGAGTTCCGTGGCACAGACACACCATAACGATGGGACTTGTGGTGTGCGAACGAGTCATTTGCTGCGTGTCTATCTAGTGACGAGACAGGTGTAGTTAGTACTCGAATAAATAAAAGCAACGAAACTGAGCGAAGCCACTATTTTGGATGTAGAAGTATGAAACAAGGTACATTGAATCAAATGACAGTAGATGTGAACAGAGCTAAGTACGACCACGAGCACTACCACCCAGGCCACTATTTGCTGTACCATTCTGGCGGGGTACGTCGACGCGTTCCAAGCGCCATCGAGGAGGCATCCTCAGTCTACCATGAGACCAGCATGAATAGTAGCAAAGGAATGCCTTGCACCAATGCACGTCTGGAAGGGAATCAGTATCAGATGACTCGGTATCCTGCTGCGCGGCGGGCTGCTGGCTAGGCGGATGCCGGGTGTCGTCTACCTTCTTGTACTCCGGAAGATTGGCAGCAGCAAGCCGCTGTGGGTCACACATCAGGAAAAGGCAATGTGAGGCAAGAGAATGTGCGTTACAGTGAACTTCCGCCCGGCCGCAACATCAACAACCGGCGGCCCATTGATACGCCTTGGTACGAGGAAAGAAAGGTGCTCCCGCATAAATTGTGCGACTCCGTTCGAGGGGGGAGGCGGAGAACTTATTTCGAACTAGATACACGATCAGTCACATACTGGAAGTGCTTTTCTCTTAAAATAAGGACTGACATGATCAAACTGGACTGCGGGCTGCACCGAGAGAGCAAGGTTTGATGGTAAGGGCGACGTAGCAGGGAACTGAAGCACAAGCGTTGAGTCAACTGCAAAAGGAGAAAGAAAAGGGGGCGGACATCTAGAGGACCCCGAGTCTGATTGTTCTGAACAGCCGGAACTGCATTCGTGCGAGAAGGAAAGGGAGAAAGTTTGCGGAGGCGAAGGAAAATGGGTTGATGCGGGTTGATTGTAGGCGGTGGCCCCTGCGACATAGGTATGGCAGGTATTGGTGGTCTGCGGCGCACAGCAAGACGACGACGAGTTGCATCAGACTGCAATAATGGTGATAGATGAGCAGTGTGGTGAGCAAACAAATGAGGTGCGTACTTTTAGCATATCATTGAGGGTTGACTTTTTGTTTGGACTTGTCTGTAAGGGAATGTTAGCACACGGATAGTAGATGTTTGCGGGGAATGCGTACATGGGCCTGAGCAAGGACATTGGGTGGAATGTCGCATATGTGGATCTCGTGGTCAATGTACCTCGGGTAAGTAGGTCGGCCCAAGTCCCTGGATGTCACGTAGGCTAGTTGGCGCGAGTCGGGTGAGAGGACAAGGGCATGGGGATGTTGACCGTCGAAGGAAGCGAGGAGTTGGCTGGACTCAAAGGCCCAGAGCTTGACGGTGTTGTCGTCTGAAGAGCTGGCAAGGAGAGTGCAGTCGGATGAAAGTGCTAGACCAGTGACACGGTCGGTGTGCCCTTCGAAGGGAGTTCCGACAGTCTCCAGCGTTGATGCGTCAAACTCATAGATCGTCGTGGCATGGTCCTCGTCCTCGAAGGTGAAAGCGGCCAAGATATTCTTGTTTTTGTTTGTCCAGAAAATTGGTGGATTCCTGTATCCTGTTCCATGGTTATCATCCCTTGTCCCTATCCTGGCATCCAATTTCTGTTTTTGGATATCCCAAACCTCAAGGCACTTTCCTACATCACACTTGATTGCGAGCTTCTTCAAATCCGTTGAGAATGCAATTGCGCCCGGCCAATCAACGATGTCAAAAGGACCGGCTACGAGTTGGCCGCTGTCCAAGTTCCATATCCGTACTGTGAAATCACAGGCCCCACTCGCCAGCAGTGTGCTGTCGGCGGAGATATCAATGCAGGTGATCGTCTCTGAGTGGCCTTCGAATTTTTTCACAATCCCCGTCTCAACTTCACAGGCTTTCAGTTCCCCGGTCTCGTCATCTCCACCTGCAGTCACAACCCATCGACCATCCCTTGATACTGCAACAACCCATACCTCCAACTCCTTGTTCCAAACATCCCGCGCTTTCTCAATCTCCCTACCCGCCTTCAGATCCCATTGCCAAGCGGTCCCATCCCGAATTCCGCCGCTGATCATTCGCTCACCGTCAGGAAAGTAGGATATGGATGAAATATCGGAGTCCTGTTCATGAATCTTCAAAGTCGTTACCGGCTTCATAATTGATTTTGTGGCATCTGCCTTCGTCGATGTAGAAGCCATGGCTGCGTATCTGGGAGCGAAATCTTTGAGTAGTCAATCGCGGGGGAGGGATATTTGGATGCGTTTGAAGGTGCAGTGAGCCCTCCTCGTGTGTTGTAGACCTGACGTTCAAAGTTGTTTTGAAGATTCCCAACTCGAGCGCTCGAGAGTACTTTGCTTCTAGTATATAAAGCCGATCGTCTGTTCTTCCGCGCTGGAACTCCAGATTGAAAGTTGACGTTACCAAGAGGGCAATGATAGTATATCGAGAGGGAAGAGTTCTACAATGTGAGCATGGCTGTCGTCCTTTTCATATTCACTTCCTGTGCTCGAGCGTCAATCTCTTGTTTATTTCCCACCCCCAGTCTTGCTGTGTACTTGTAAGCTTGGGCGTTATCTTAATGGTTAAATTTTTTTGATATGCTGTAGCATTCGACGCTTGGCACTCATTGTTCTTCGTTGCAGTTTCGCTTTGGACCCCAGCAGATGCATGAATCATTCTCATGAACATTGTACAGATCCAACACGTAGACCGCTTTCCTTCTGCATCTCACAGTCTCAATTGTTCTCTCATCCAAGGCTTTCTCACTTCCCTCAGCCTGACGCCCCTCGCCAACCCGCAACCTTTCGGCATCGACCGTTTTTTCTTTTAGCACACCCTCGTTGCCTTTGAAAACATAATAGTCCGAGCTTTGAATTTCTCTCAGCCTGATACTGAGATCAAAAAAATGAAGTATCCATTCACAAAAGGTCGAGAGTGATAAAAGCATTGTCGTGCAACAACCGTCACCCGAGACCCACTCTCCAAGGCCACTCCTGCGAGTCCTGACGTATGTTGAGGGCACTACATGCTGATGGCAGAGATGTGGAGCCATACGGGCAGAATTTTATAACAACGGCGCTGACACTAGCAGAACGCTCCGCGTGAATCGAATCGAGCTCTCGGCTTGTGAGAGTGGGACTGATCCGGCCCTGGTGGCGTCGTAGTACCTTCAACCAATACATGTAGTCTCCTCCGAGTCCAGTCGTTGATATCAAGACGCAGCCCCTTACATCTCCCGGAGAGAATACAACTGCTGATTCGTTCTGCAGAGACTAGTCAGAGATGGGCGAGCACAATAAGATGGGACAGAGAGATACACACAGCGTGTAAGCTAATCCTAGTTGATTTCGAAGGTTCTCCTAGAATGCTCATTTCTAACGCCCTGTCAACAGAGAGTTACTTGAGAGGGCGTCTACATCGGGCTTTGTTAATGTTGGCGATTCGGTCGTGTTTCCTGTGTGTTTACACACGGATATCACGTTTCAACTTGAACTCACTAGCGTCAGATCGACAAGGATGTGCGACCACCCAGAAATGAGCCGACATCAGAAGGTGGAGTCGCATCGATTACTCAATGCTACAAGGGCGGCACTTGACCGTGCAAAGAGAGAGAAGGGGAACTGCGGGATAAGGACGTCCTGGGCAGAGTGCACCTTGTCCTCGCACCTGCAGATCGTGCACTTTTGCATTGATCACACCCTAGTCACCTTTGTATTCTCGATGTTCCAGACCTTGAATGCCCCGCTAACGCTGCAATCCAAAAACGAATGACGTATCCAGAGAATTCGACAGGTTGAGGGTCCAAGTGATGTGAGGTTTATCGTGTATACACCGTCACCTGAAGACCTGCCTTCTAAGGAAGCTCCTGCGAATCTGAGATACAACTAGGTTACAACATCGATTGGAACATACTCACCTTGTGCCTGTGTGACTGCATCAACCCCAAATGTTGGTCGTGACATCATTTTGGGCTTCCAATATTGACCAACTTCACTGTGACAATGTGCGCACGTAGTCTCGCAGCGGATCTTGCAGCGGATAGGTCGAAATTCTCAGGACATAGCTCCTCGAGTTTGCCGGAGAGCAATACTCGTCTTCTAGCATGCATTTCGCAAACACTGGCGAATTAGGACATATCTGTCGTGTCTACGGCCAGCAACACATTGATTCAATCCACCAGCATTGGAGTGTGTGTGACCACCTACTAGAAATAGGTGAGTATCAGACGGCGTGAAATCGACGGTTCAATGTCATGAGTATCACTTGGGTATTGATGCAAAGGGAGGGAAGAAAACCGCTGAATATGGACGTACTGGCAGGTCTGCTAATGGGGTGGAGGTGGAGGACTGCATGTCCGCGTCATAAATAATGGCATGTGCATCACTGGCGCTGGTGAGTTGGGTTGATTTTCCTGTGTAAGGTCAATAAGCAATTCAATTCGCCAGCGCCAGAATGACAGCCTTAGGCGTGCACGACACCTAGATAGTACCATTATGTGAGCATCAATTTGCAACGCGATACGGAACGTACTTCTGTTAAAAACTGGTCGGCATCGGAATTGATGTGATTATGTGCATCATGCATCGCTGGCGAGTCGGGTTGAGTTTCTTATGTTCTGCTGTTGAAACCCTAGTCCAATTCACCAGCGCCAACAGCCCGAGGGATAGGAAATTGCCTGGATAAATGCTGTGCGAGTATGGAGTCAGAATATAAATATAATGCGACATGCACCAATGGCACGTACTTATGAGCAACTGATTGGGGCCGGTAGGCAAAGTAGCATCAATCAGAAAGCCATTCAGATGCACGGAAGCGACACGCAAGCATGCTGCATACAGAGGGAATCAGTCGGAGGAACACAGATACAAGCAGGACGTGCTCAAGGGATGCCGTGTGAGTAATGCGCTGACGACGCCCATAGTTAGCAGAGGATTGCAAACCTCAAGCCCAACCGAGGGGACGCGATAACTCACATGGGACAGGTTCCCATTGAGCCTTTTTAAGGTGGGTGCAGCAACAATTTGAATCATCACTATAGCTCTCAAATTACCTCAACGCAAAACGAGGCGCTCAGGAAAGTGAGAACTGTTTGTGGTAAAATTGAGGTGATGGATTTTGCTTGATAAGTTGGGCTGTGAGCTTGGTATACATGCTAGCATACGGATACACGAACCCAACGGCCCAAGCTGTCGGCATCAGAATGAGCGAAGTACGCGACCACCAAGATATAAGTTACCCGACAGCTTTCGAACATGCGGCATGCACTTGCTACATAAATGTGTCGGTGGGCAGAAACGTGCCCCTTGAGCGTGCAGAAGGAAGGAGAACGTAAATAAAGACGCCCACCGTGAGCGGGCGGATATCGATGGCACGGTCCCAAGAGGCATCATGTATTGATACCATCTGCGGCAATGATATCTCGCCCATCTGTTAAAATTTCACCTGGGAAAAAGATGAGATAATGAGGGAAGAAGTTAGCATCAGTGCATTTATGGGCTGGAGAACTCAGCGTGTCTATAACGCAACGCCAACTATTTGCGAGGTGGTCTTTCATAGTCCTTGAATCAGTCAGTATATACGAAATGGCATGGTGAGAGTAAAAGATGGCAGAGGTCGACGAGGCGGCTGCAACTTTGGACTACATGAAAAGAGCTGAATGAACGCATGATGTTTTTGCATGAACTCAAGTTTCCGCGGAATTTTGTGATCTGGGGAGAGAGCTGCGAGACACAGCGTGGAGAAACTCAATGTCAATGGTGGTCGTGGATAACAGGGTCGGATCGATATGTGTTTGTTGTTGTTTGGTATCTGTATTAAATATTGAGATCTATATCTTTGATCGCAAGTCCGATTCTTCACCCAACGCAAAGCCCGACCGTTCTCCCTCAATTTTACACAACGACTCGCCAGCAGCACCCTCTCCCACTCTACCTCTAATTACTGTACGCTGGCAGACCCGGCACTTATAGACGAACTCGTGGAGTCGTGCGACACGCGTCGTGCAAGGCTTTCACCTGTGTTTGAACTCTTTTCTTTCAAAGTTGCTTCCAGCTGATGCAAAGACGTCTTTGAACTCGAACACGCCCTATATTACCTACATTATTCGTGCAGGCGTAAGTACAACCCACTTCTCAATTGGATGCACCCTCCCAACCTTACGAGATAGGATGCGGAAGCGAGACATCGGTACTCGGAATTCGGGTCCCTGAGGTCAAGCCTCGTGAAGCTGTACCCGACCATCATCATTCCACCAATTCCATCAAAGCAAACTATTGGTGACTATGCCACGAAGAAGGCAAACGGTTATCAAACGCGCATGCTTCTGCACAGATTTGATCAATCCTTTCAGTTCCTCGCTACGTCGCGTCTACAATCCAAATCAGTCTCATTCGGCGCAGGCCATAACTCAGGTGCTTTCATGTATGTATTCATGTGAGGATTCGAGCGTTGACCGCCGTGACCTCATTTCACCTTATATTTTTCAGTCTCAATCTGCCCCACTATCGCCTGGTTTCCGGTCGTCTACTGCTCTCACTACTGTCACACCACCCATTAGCTTGGCGGCGTCTTCGTCCGTGTCATTCGTTGCGGCCCATTATCGATGTTACTCTTACCTAGAGGCTAGCAACTTGGAGACTCAGGGCGAGCAATTCACCTGGTTGAATGTACGTTCCAGTCTAGCAACCCCTTCATTTATGTACTTCCTAACACGCCCCTTCCGTATGGTAGTGACGGCATTGCACTGTGTCAATTTGCACAATGTTTCGTTCAAACTGCCGCCTTGCTTTTCGTTTCCCTGTCGTGGTCATCAACCTTGCCCGGGGGTCTTGTAGAATCATTTGGACTACTATTTCGCACAAATAGAGTCATGCTACATTGGGCCTTAATATGGAGTCGAATGAACTACTGAGATCATTATAACGATGGCTCTGAGCCATTCATTGCAAAGGCACTTTTCTCGGAATGACACACAGGTCCGTCATAGTCCGCACTCAATTCATTTGTATACTCCTCCAATATCGACTAATCATACACTGTAGCTTCAGTCCACTCTCAGAACCAGTCGAAGTCCTCAGCGGCATATATAGCTGACGCGCCGACGGCGTATCCTTACAGCTAGGTAGTCAAACCCTCCAAAATTACATACGTTTTTGCGTAACATGACAGCAGTACATGTGTTGATGAATTGCCTCGAATCACTGGAAATTCGAATTCGTTCGTATATACTGCATTTCACAACTGAAATTAAATGTGAGGGAACTCTGATGGGCATGGCCATATGCTGCAGGGTACAAGAGAAGTATGGGGTGGGGCCTATATTTGCTATACCTGAGTAGCATACAGAGCTAGCTATCCAACTGGTTGTACCGTAAACACATGATTGTATGAAAAGCAGTTTAAGAATTAAGGAGATCTGGATAGCGCATAATATTCATTCCTGATTACTCCCTCAGCTGCCTCTGTCGATGGACGGTCCTGAGGATCAGTAGACCAACATTTCTCAATAAACTCCCAGTATTTGTCGGGCAGCGGAGGATAACGCGATCGGGAAGGCATCTCTGACTTCTGCATAGCCCATATGATGGCGAGATCATTCCGGAGGTAATAATAGGGAGTACTATTGGTGAGGACCTAAATGCGGAGCTAATGATCCCATTGAGAAGTTGAAATCACCCCAGACGTACCTGCAACATGATACCACCAAATGAATATATGTCGCTCTGCTCGCTCGGCCGTGGTGGAGACCCATCCTCCCGCTCTGATGCGAGCAGCTCGGGAGCCATCCATCGTGCATTGTCGTTGAGCATGGATGTCCAGGAAGCCTGAGAGGTGCTTATGACCTCTGAATACATCAAGGAGAGACCGAAGTCGGCAACACACACAGTACCATCACCATGGATGAGTACATTAGGCTGGAGATTACAACTTAATCAAGCTGAAACTAACAAGAATGTTCGAACTCACACCAGTGAAGTCTCCATGGATGACCCTGTTGGCGTGAACTATGGGGAATAGTTTTGACTCCTGGTCCAGCATTAAACTAACTAGCATGTACGATATTGGAGACCAGCTATGATATCCATGAGCTGAGATTGCCATCAGTCTGTAGCCTTTGCGAAATACAAGCGAGGACTTACGATCTGGAATCGTCGAAGGACAGTAAGATCCGCACCCACACGCTCCAAATAGACCATCAGGTTTCCATTCTCCGCCCAAGGACTGACCAGCGCTATGAATGGGCCGAAGCCATAAGTATAACCATAAACGGGGAGAATATTTTTATGGTTGAGGTTGGCGCATATTCTGAGTTTGCGCGTTATCCTCTGCGAAGTGGTGACCTCTGGCGTAAGTGATATTAGGTGGAATCTTTCACCATGACTCTTACTTTGATCTTCTTCATCTTCGCTGGACCTAGTTGATCAGCAGCGTTCACATGCAATGCTTTCACTGCAACCTGCGCAATTGTAAATTTTGGACTGATGGAGAAACAGAATACTGCCAACGAACTTTTATCAGTTTCCCATCTATGGAATAGGTGCATTTCCAGATCTCTCCGAACCCGCCATGAGCAGCAGGATATTCGTCGTCCTTGGTGATGTAGGCTGTGAGATTTGGGAGCATCTCTTCAATGGGAGAACCACCAGACTCATTGTTACGAACTGGGAGAACTGTATCAGTATGAGAAGGGGAGAGAAGGAGTTCACGAGGCCTCTGCACCATAGGTGTGACGGGTATCGTTGGGCTGCGGCACACAGCAGGAGGACGACGAGTTGCATCAAACTGCAATAATGGTGATGGATGAGCAGTGTGACGAGAAAACAAATGACAGGCGTACATCAGTGAGGGTTGACTTGTTTTGTGCACTGGTCTGTAAGGAAAACATTAGCACACGGATAGTAGATGAATGCGTACACGTGCCTGAGCAAGGATGTCGAGTGGAATGTTGCATATGTGGATTTCATGGTCATCGTACATCGGGTAAATGACCTTGTATGTCACGTAAGCCAGTTGGCGCGATTCGGGTGAGAGGACAAGAATGTCAGGATGTTGAACGTCGAAGGAATTGAGGAGTTGGCAGGACTCGAAGGCCCAGAGCTTGATGGTGTTGTCGTGGGAAGCGCTAGCAAGGAGAGTGCAGTCGGATGAAAGTGCTAGACCAGTGACAAGGTTGGTGTGCCCTTCGAAGGGAGTTCCGACAGTCTCCAGCGTTGATGCGTCAAACTCATAGATCGTCGTGGCATGGTCATTGTCCTTGAAGGTGAATGCGGCCAAGATGTTCTTGTTTTTGTTTGTCCAGAAAATTGGCGCATTTGTGTATCCTTCATCATTATCTACTGTCTCTATCCTCACATCCAATTTCTGTGTTTCGACATCCCGGACCTGAAGGCACATCCTGGTAATTGACTTGATTGCGAGCTTCTTCGAATCCGTCGAGAATCGAATTGCGCCCAACAAATCAACGCTATCAATTGGGCCGGCCCCAATGAGTTTGCTGGTGTCCAAGCTCCATATTCGTACTGTCCGATCCATGGCCCCACTCGCCAGCAGTGTGCTGTCCGCGGAGATATCAATACAGTCGATCCTGTCTGAGTGGCCTTTGAATTCTTTCACAATCCCCGTCTCAACTTCACAGGCTTTCAGTTCCCTGGTGCCGTCATCTCCACCTGCAGTCACAACCCATCGACCATCCCTTGATACTGCAACTGCCCATACCTCCTTCTTCCAAACATCCCGCGCTTCCTCAATCTCCCTACCCGCCTTCAGATCCCATTGCTGAACGGTCTGATCATTACATGCGCTGATCATTCGCTGGCCGTCAGGAAAGTAGGATATGGATGTAATCTCGGAGTCCTGTTCATGACTCTTCAAAGTCGTTACCGGTTTCAGAATTGATTTTGTGGCAGCTGCCTTCGTCGATGTAGAAGCCATGACTACGTCTTTGTGAGCAAAATCATTGAGTAGTAGTCAATCGCGGGAGAGGGATATTTGGATGCGTTTGAAGGTGCAGTGAGCCCTCCTCGTGTGTTGTAGACCTGATGTTCAAAGTTGTTTTGAAGATTCCCAACTCGAGCGCTCGAGAGTACTTTGCTTCTAGTTTATAAAGCCGATCGTCAGTTCTTCCGCGCTGGAATTTCAGATAGAGAGTTGACGTTACCAAGAGGGCAATGATAGTATATCGAGAGGGAAGAGTTCTACAATGTGAGCATGTCTGTCATCCTTTTCATATTCACTTCCCGTGCTCGAACGTCAATCTCTTGTTTATTTCCCACCCGCCAGTCTTGCTGTGTACTTGGAAGCTTGGGCGTTATCTTAATGGCTAAAAATGTTTGATATGCTGTAGCATTCGACGCTTGGCATTCGACGTTCTTCATTGCAGTTTCACTTTGGACCCCCGCGGATGCATGAATCATTCTCATGAATATTGTACAGAGTAAACATATAGACCACATTTCCTCATATCATAGTCTCCACCGTTCTCATTCCAGGCTTTCTCACCTCCCCAGCGCCCCTCACTAACTTGCAACCTTTCGCCATCGACCATTTTTACTTTGATTGTGCCCTCGTCATCTTTGAATTCACAATGTTCCGAGCTTTGAATGTCTCTCAGCCTGATAATGAGATCAACAAATGAAGTATTCATTCACAGTTCGAAATTTCAAGAGCAAAAAGAGTGTTGTCATGTAACGATCGTCGCCTGAGACTTGCTCTCCAAGGCCACCTCTACGATGCCTGACGTACGATGGGGATAGAACATGATGCTGATGGTAGAGATCCAGAGCCATATGCAAATGAGTGGGACTGATCTGGTCATGTTCCTCATGGCGTCGTAGTGCCATAAACGAATCAATACGTGTAATACATGTAGTATCCTGCTGTTGCTGATATCGGGACGCAGCCCCTCGAGGACTCTCGATACAATGCAACTGCTGATTCGTTCTGCAAAGACACTAGTGAGGCGAGCGCAAGCGCAGTGAGACGGAACAGAGAGACATACATACAACTTAATCCTTGTCGACGGCGAACATTATCCTAGCATGCTAATGTCTGACACCCTGTCAACAGAGTTACTTGAGAGGGTGTTTACGTCGGGCTTCCTGTGTTTGTACACAGATATCACACCTCAACTTAAACTCGCTAGTGTCAGATTGACAGGTAGTATGCATGACTACCCAACAATAAACTAGCATCAAAATGCTCAATACTGCGAGAGCAATACTTAGCCATGTAAAGAGAGACAAAGGGGAACTGTGGAGTTAGAACGTACTTGACAGGACTGTACATCAAATACTCACCAACACCAGAACGACAACTTGAGATGCGCACGATCAGCTAGATATATTTTATGTGAGCATTTATCCAGAATGAGATACATTGACCTATTAGCAACTTATCAGCGTCGGCAGGCAGAGTGCTGTCCCTCAAAAAACTGCTCGGGGTTATGACAACAGTACTTGAGGGTGTGATGTGGTGTTAAACTCACCACACACTGCACTCGGGGATCAAATACCCTGACTGTCAGCATAGCGTAGTGTGCTTGCAAAATCCCAAACCCATGTGACCTTTGGTACGATAATCCACGTAGGACAGGAGTAACATCATAGCGACGAGGGGGCAAAAAGTTTGCTTGGTGTGTTTGAGGTCCATCAATAGTTTGGACGAGTGATGATCGCACAGATACCTCAATGTGAATGTGATGCTCAGAGAAGTAGGAGCTGTGAGTTAAAATTTTGATTCTGAGTATCTTGCTTGGCGAGTTGGGCTCTCGTCCATTGATACCGAGGTGTCGGTAACTGGGAGTCTTGTGAGCAGGTAAAGTACCTTGCTGGTCTTGAGTGCTTTGATGCTCGGAGTGTAAGAAATATAGTACCGCATAATGAAATTGAGATAAGAAAAGATGACGAGTTCATAGCACTTACAATTGGCAGCATCATAAGAAGAAATGCAATTTGTGAACTTGAATGCCCTTCGCAAGATGCTTCCAAGTTGCCAGAACGACAGCTTGAGACATGTGCGACTGCGTGGATGAATTTTATGTGAGCAATATGAATATTTTAGAATGACGGCACGTACTTATGGGAAACCAGTGTCAACAGGCGGAGTAACATCGCTCAAAAATTGCTCAAGGTTATGACAGCGGTACCTGAGCATGCTCTGTGCGAAGGTGTACCATCGAGGCAGCATGCTCAAGGGCCACTGAATAAGAACGCCCTGACATTGCAACATTCATGGTCAGCAGAGCCTGATCACCGAATCTCAAACCCTCTTATCTTGAACGCGTACGTGAAAAGGTAAAATGTGTCCATTGGTATATTTGAGGTCTGATAAAGATCTTGAGAACCACGGTGGGTACTCACACATCCCAATGTAATGAGACGTTCAAAGCAGCAGGAGCTGTGGGTAGGCAAGTGATGGATGTTGCTTCATACGTTGGGTTGTGGGGCTGGGCTGGTGTGCATGCCACGACACAACGACTTACCATCCAACCCAACAGCATCAGAACAAGCGGGGTGCGCGACCGCCCAGATACAATAGTACCCAACAGCTGTTGAGACATGGGCCGTGAAGCCAATGTAACAAAATGGAATCGGCAGGCAGAGAAGTTGCTCTTAAGCATAAAGATGGGGAGCACTGAATGAGGATGCCCACCATAAAGTGAGCGAGATATCCAGGGTACAGTGTCCAGAGTGATAGCACCTAAAGACAATGTAAGTTGTACATGACAATATTGCCTGTCTGACGGTTAGGCTTAAAGCTTATCGATGAAGAGTCAGGAAAAATGAGAGCTGACCCAGGAAAAGTATCTTGCTATTCTCGAGTCAATCCATTGATGTGGCACTTGCAACTTTGGAGTACATGCAAAGAGGCAGATAAAAGCCTGTGTGTTCACACCTTACTGCGGAACATTGTGCAGAGGGCAAGTTCAGTGCAAGAATACCTTGAAAATGAAGAAGCAGTCTCCGCCTTGCATGGAGTCTTAGAGTGAGCGACGGCTTCCTCGTTCCAAAGATCAAATCTGTATTTGTCATTATTTGGTATATATGTTCGCTTCATGTGTTCCAACCTGTTCCAATGACCTCGTCCAGATTATAATTTTGTAGCTTTTATAGATATCATTCCTACTGTCCTTGAGCTGACCTCGAGAAATATTCAGATCAACGTTCCTTGACCTTCGGCTTCTTCACTACATTCACTCGCAAACCCAGATTCGTCACACAATCCCCAACCACGCTCTCTCCATCCAATATTTCTCACATTGACTCGCCAACACTAAGCTTAAGCCCACACCACCAATTCTGACACCGACCCCGAGGTAACAGACCCAATCGCATCCGTCCTGTATGGCCTCATATGCTCGATCTCTCCAATGCCACACACATATACTCTCCCCCACTACCCTAAATCAATATCTCCACCAATAGTGCTGCACCCATTTCTGCCACACCATCTCAAGACCACCAAAATTTCATTATGTGCGATCCAAACACCGACACGTCTTACCACATCCTACATGTCCATGAATCACGAGTGCTGGCGAATTGGTCTGCGACATCGTCTGGCTAACATATAATGTCGAGCCTCCGAGAACACAAATCAATAATACGAAATTTTGTGTCAGTTCATATGTGCAAGTCTGCAGAACCAGGGATGCGGGTTCGAGCTGTGAGTAGTGCTTTCTATTGTAAATTTCTCGCACAAAAGAAAGCAACACCCACGTCTATAAGGCTGACCGCGATGGACCTACGGGTATCAGAGAAACTCGCCAGCCTGCTTTATTCGATGAATGATCGTTATTGAATCGAGAAGCTCTTATTGTACAAAGACATCGGTGCTTGACTCGATGAGAACGTGATGGACTAGTGTTGCCACAGCTCAGACAACAACTTTTGAAATAAATTGACATTGTGGGCTGAATAAAATTCCTTAAATCATGAGAATATTTATGTAGGTAGATTGGGCCAGGAACCGGGGGGTTACATAAGGGCATTTTTCACAGTGATGCATATTCACATGTCTATGAAGCAACTCAGTAAAGAGTCTGGCTTTTGGAGTTATCACTGAGCTGCTTCATGGCGGGCCAACAATGTATCCTAGTGAAAAATATCCTCAGGTAACCCCCCGGTTCCTGGCCCAATCTACCTACATAAATATTCTCATGATTTAAGGAATTTTATTCAGCCCACAATGTCAATTTATTTCAAAAGTTATTGTCTGAGCTGTGGCAACACTATGATGGACGCATGTTTCGTTCATGTTCTGAATTCCTGAGTCACGATATAGAAGACGAGAAAACCCAAACGACATATCACAGTCATAGAATAATGAATACGAAGAATGACAATAATCTACAATACACAGGGAATGTCAACGACACATCACTAGAAGCAGAAACAACACCGGTCGCCTCCATGCTCTCCAGCGTTGGTCTGTGCGGCTGGTTGTTGTGAATTGGGGTTCGGTGAAGGCGGGTCGAAGTATTCATCGGGTACTATATCATTGTCTTTTCTGGGAGCATCCGCTGCAGCATTGCACTGTAGATCGTAGATAAATAGACTAGAAGACAGTAAGCAAAACCAACTGGCATACCTCTTTACCCTGCGCGAGAGGAACATCAACGATATGCATCTGTGCGTGACTCGCACGAAGGGGCCACCAGGATAATAGATTGTGGGGGCGGGAATTGGAGGTGACAGATGATTGGGTCATTGGCAGTGAGTGAGACTGAAAGAAGTGAGTCGAATATGTGATGGCAAGTAGCCAACACTCACGTTCTCGCCGGAATAGATATTTGAATGTCCCTGAGTTGCGGTACGCTCCGAGAGAGGGTGGGGTAGGGGCGACGTAGCAGGGAACTACATCGTGAGTGTGCAATCAACTGCAAAAGAGAGAAGAAAAGAGGCATACATCCAGGGGACCACGAAGTTGATCGTTCCGATTAGGAGGGACTGCGTTCATGCAAGAAGGGAGCCGAAGAAGTCTGCGGAGACGAAGGGAAATGGATGGTTGTGGGTCCATTGTAGGCGGTCTCTGCGATATGGGTGTAATATATATTGGTGGTTTGCGGTGCACGGCAGGAGGACGACGAGTTGCGTCAGACTGCGATAATGGTGATGGATGATCAATGATCGATGAGTGGTGTAATGAGTAAACAAATGAAACGCGTACTTTTAGTACATCATCGAGGGTCAACATTTTGTGTGCACTGGCCTGTAAAGGAATGTTAGCATACGGATGGTAGATATTTGTGGGGAATGCGTACACGGGCCTGAGCAAGGAGGTTGGGTGGAGTGTTACATATGTGGATGTTGTAATCATCTTGGGTGTATGTAGTGTAAGCCAACTTGCACGAGTCGGGTGAGAAGACAAGGGTAAGAGGATACTGAACGTCGAAGGAAGCGAGGAGTTGGCGAGACTCGAAGGCCCAGAGCTTAATGGTGTCATCAAAGGAAGCGCTAGCGAGGAGGGTGCCGTCAGATGAAAGTGCTAGACCTATGACAACCTTGGTGTGCACTTCGAAGGGAGTTCCAACAGTCTCCAGCGTCGATGCGTCAAATTCGTAGATTGTCGTGGCGGGGTCATCGTCCGTGAAGGTGAATGTGGCTAAGATGTTTTGTTTTTTGTTTGTCCAGAACATTGGCGCATAGGTGATTCCAAATCCAGTGGATTTCCCTATCCTCACATCCAATTTCTGTGTGTGAACATCCCAGACCTCGAGCCACCTCCCCACAATTGACTTGATTGCAAGCTTCTTCGAATCCGTTGAAAATCGAACTGTGCCCACAATATCAACACTCTCGAATGGATCGGCCACGGGTTTGCCGGCTTCCAAGTTCCATATCCGCGTTGTTTTATCATCAGACCCGCTTGCCAGCAGCTTGCTGTCCGCAGAGATATCGATGCAATTGATCCAATCTGAGTGGCCTTCGAATAATTTCACAATCCCTGTCTCACCCTCACAGACTTTCAGTTCCCCGGTCTTCTTATCTCCACCACAAGTGACAATCCATCGACTATCCCTTGATACCGCCACTGCCCATACCTTGTTCTCGCAAACACTCCATACTTCCTCAATCTCTTTACCCGTCTTCAGATCCCATTTCCGAGCAGTCACAGGTTGCTGTCATAGTTATGCATGAATTGTTGTAACTGTAGTACTGTTGTGATGCAACAACATTACAATTCTAAAGCCCCTGATGCATGAGTGATGCATGTCCCCCCCTGCGCAATACCCTGCATAATGTGATGCATGCCTCTGCTGTGTGATGCATGCACACCTGCTTCTGATGCATCAAATGAACGGCGGGGATGCATCACGCTATACGTCTGATGCATCCCCCGCCCTTCACACGAATAGCGTGATGCATCCCCCGCCCTTCATTTGATGCATCACGCTATTCGTCTGATGCATCCCCCGCCCTTTATTTGATGCATCACGCTACTCGTCATCCCCCGCCCTTCACCCATGCATTGATGATCCCGCCCACTGCATCCCCCGCCCTTCACCCATACATTAGTCAACACCTGTATTGCAAAACTACGTGAAGGGTACATGAACTATGTGAAGGATACTACATGCAAGCGCTAGGATTCCCCATGGAACTGGTCCACGAACGAGCAAGTGTCTGCCCAACTGGAATGACACGTGTCCCGCAGTGCCCGACGCAAGGCTGCTTGACGTCGAGCATATGCAATCCGGCCCTCTCTCTCGGCGGGACTACCAGACCCCATGACATCGCCTGCCAGTCAAAGAACTGCAGAGTTCTCCGCATCTCCTCTCGTAACAGCTCGAGCTCCTCCTTCCACCGCATAGCGCGCGCCCTGGCCTTGCACCATTCTATTCGCATATCTGGATAGAGTGCCGGTGAGATAGGGTGCATGAACAAATTGGTAAGCTTACCTTCCATAGATCCATCATCATCCAGCTCGTCTCCATGAGCACTGCGCATATTCCATATCCATGAAAGCTTTCTTCTTCCCTCAGTCTCGCCCCACAGGACATCCGACATCCCTCGAATATCTTGACGATCGAGTGGACGTAGGGAGGCTTGCCATCCCGTCTCCTCGACGAAGGGAGCAAGAATCACCAGCGCTCTGCGCGCATCCTGGTATCGGGTTGATGCTGCCTCGATTCTTGCGTCAACGCCTTTGAGCGTGTTACAAGCTCGGGTGTTTGAGCCTTGACCACGGAGATTACGATCCTTATATTTCAGGATAGCGGTTTGCGCACGTAGATTAGAACGTAGCGAGCGTAGTGTGTCGTGAGCTTGTGCGAATCGAAGTCTCCATTCAATTTTCTGAAATTTGAGGTCGAAAGGATCCGTTCTGCCAACTTGTGAAGGAAGGAGAAGATCAAATGACTCGGGAGTGATGACAACACCACTGGACTTGTTTTTCAGTCGTAAGGCCGCGATCATCGGCATGTATAGCTCCTGGACTTTGACCCAGGCCTCGATCCGACGTTGGAGACTATTACTCCGTTGAACGACCTTCCCTTCTTGAATGTCCGTGGCATGGATCCCTAGACCTGCCTTCTCAGCTCGAAGACGTCGCCTGAAGTGTTTCATTAGCAACCATACAATGAGATATTACATTGATTAAACTTACTGCTGCTCTTCTAGCTCTAGGCCGCCGCTGATCAGCACGCTGGGCGAACAATCTTCATGCAATTCGTGGAAGCCGCCTCGTTCGATTTCTGATGTGTCTTCTTTCGCAAGTTCGAGGCGCACAGATGCAAGCGTGATCTCTGCATAAAATGACATCAGCGTCAAGACGTTATTCACCAAACGAAATGTACTCACTTTCTGTGCTCCGTTCATATGGGTTCGGCTGGGAGGGATCGTGCTCCCATGCCTCAACCTGCTCTTTCCATCTACTCAATGCCTCTGCATATTCCACCTTCAGTCCTTCTTCGAGGTCGTCCAGCGCTGCTTCGTGTTCAGATAGTTCGGGCAAGGCTTCTTTCACCTTCCGTAGCATAGTGCGACCTAATGATGCATCAGTAATGCATCAGTAATACATCAGTAATCAGTGCATCACTTACGTAGACCAGTAATTTTCTTCCAATTCCAGTCCCCAAAGAAATCATCAAGGGTGTCTCGTCTCGCGCCTGGGCCCATTTCTTTCGTGCTCGATGCCACGGGGTTTATATTCGCCCATCCTCGCTCCGGAGCTTCTCCATCCGTTCGTCAGACGCTGCGCGCAAAATTGAATGAGAAGCTTGTTTGACATGATTCAATGTGAGCTGGCAAATGAAATTTCGGCACGAAAAAGGTGACCTTCTTAGCGGTGTGGTCCAGTTGCATCGAGGGGGGGAATGAGGCCATACGGTGCCATAAGTGCTTGTTCCACTGGCATGCTATATCATACAAGACGTTAAGGATATCCACAGCGGTGTGGCGAAGGGTCGAGAAGAAGAGGTAATCCATATTTACATATCTAGATGGTGGCACATCAATATTATTGGGTGTCTGAAGTATAGCATAACTCACCTTTCTCCTTTCTGGAGGTCTCCAACTGCGGTCAGTAATTTCATGTTGTGGCGAGCGCAATCAATGGTCCCCAGCCCCGTAGCTGCAAGCCCATGACTGGATTTGGTGTCTGCACTGTTTACCGCGTTGTGACTTGAGCATGTAGACTTCTGTTCCGCAAGCCCGCATTAGCATCATAAAAAAAATTCAAAGACGACTAAAAACTCACCTCTTGACTAATGTTGGATTTGTCGTCTAGGAAAGCCTTGTACGCATGTTCTTCGACAAAGTATCCCCAGCCACAACTCAGGCTGGGGTCTACACTATCCTTTGAAACCACTTTCCGTTTCAACCGGAAATTTGCGTCGATGGCCACAAACAGCCCATATAGCCAGCTACTCCTATGAATCAGCGACCAATACACATGCCATAATGGTAGCATCTTACCGGTCAGTAGGGGAAGCCTCTCTCCAGTCAGCAGGTAAGTTCTTGCCGGGCTGTGGACAGGCCGGACACAAAACAGCGCATCCACCCTCGGGAGTCGAATCAACCCCTTTGGGATCATAAGGTCGCCCAGACTGTTTGAGCATCTTGAGATGTCGCCATTCGCGAATCATCCGCGTGAATTGGTCGTATCGTTCCTAAAAAAAATGTAAGGCGATGTTGTCATGGAGCGGCCCGAACAGTACGTACTTTGATGGGACTCAGCCCCGTATTGTCAGACCTCCGCATCAACGCATTAAAAAACTCGTATGCCGACACTTTCGATTCAAATGACAAGAGATGGAATTCTTCAAGAAGGCGAAATGTTGCCGCAGTCTTGGGGTCAGATGTTGTTGACGGAAATAGTGACATATGGAGGAGCTGTTGAATGTGGGTTGTGGCCAGGGAGCAATCACAAAAATCCAAAGCTACCTCGTGAACGCCATGAGAATCCATGATGACAAAGTCATCATTGAATGCGCGACGAGGATTGGAACAAGTCTGACCGGCCATGTGTCCAAGCTGGATCCGGAGACCGAGGGTCTTCAGGCTTGCTGACTCAAAGTATTCTCCATTCCATTTCTACATCTAGTGAGTTCATATTCTGCACGATTACAATTGTTTAAGCACTTACCTGCAGCCGATGCAGCGGGTGATGGGTGTGGGCCGTCACCATGCAGGACGCACAACATAGAGTGATCCCAAAGCAGTCTTGACAACGATATTCCGGATGTGGGTAACAACATCCAGAACATGGCCCTGCACTGAGTTCTCCTCGGCCTTCGAGTCGTAGCATCTCGTGGAGGAACAGGGAGCGATCCTTCAGCCACACCAGCAGTGGATTTTCCTGAACGAAGTCAGTGAGCACTGGCATGAAGCATAATCACGTTAGTCTGGCAACTTACCTGTTTCCTCTCAGAGTGAGCATCATTGTCAGCGCCGCATGACATATCGGCCGAAAATTCACCAAAATCATCTAGCGTCATTGCTAGCGCAGGCTGGATAGGCTCGGGTGGTTGACGGTGCGTGGTTTGCTGTGCGTTTTTGGGAGGTTGGACGTACTGCAGGGTATATGAGATAGAGCCGTCTCCGCGATATTGGTACTGGGTGTGCTTTCGCTGCTTGACACTCGACTTTGGACGTGGGTAAGAATTCAGTGTAACCTTTTTCTGCCGCTTCTTGGCTCTTGTTGTTCTTCCCAGCTCCTGACGCAATTTCTCTGTACATACGATCGTTGAAGACGAACCAGCGATTGGGGGGGACAGATTGGACTCCATGACAAAGTACTGGCTGTAAGTACTGATCGTTAGAAAATGACTATGATGTTTTTTTCTTACTTACCTGTAATGCTGGCCGTCACCGTCACCAGCAATGGACTCATCAGAAATGGACTTGCCATTCGTGAAGTATTTGATGGCCAGCATTGAATCACGCATGAATTCGATCATAGATTCGATCATATCGTGGATTTTCAAAGAAGTGCTCACCTTCTGTGCGAATCAATAAACAACACCAAATAAACAATGATTCTGTTGCAACCGTTGATTCTTTATTGCAACCGACCTTCACCGACTTGAGCTGGTTCCCGATCTTCAGCTAGGCATTGAGTTCGGTAAGTATTTATCTTCGATTCTCGATGGCCTACATCCCATCTGACTTTCTAAACAATGACCACCACCACAAACAACGACCAAAGCAGCCTTGGTGCGTTTTTGGCCCATCACTGATTTATGTCTGCTAACACATGTTTCAGATGCTGTTTTGCAACTACTATCTTCATTGACGCTATCAAATGACGAGGCGCAAACCCTCATCCAAGTGATTTCTGATGGTAGTGGAGGCCCTCCTGTCATGTCGTCTGCAACTCCTACGGCGGCCGTCATCCCAGCGGCTACATTGGCTCCTGCGGTAACCGTCATCAGTCCCCCTCCTGCAGTAGCCGTCATCACCCCCCGTTCTGCAGTAGCTGTCGTCAGCCCTCCTGCAGTAGCTGTCGAGACTCAGGCCGCTGCATTTGTGCAGTTTGTCGGTTTCCCGCATCTTCCAATGACAGCTGTCATTGTCAACGGCGAGACAAGGGGCCAGCAGCAATATCGCGATTTCAGCTTCGATGTTCCGCGTGCTGGGGCCCTTGGTCCTTTCTACCTTGTCACCCGCGGCCGCCGGGTAGGAGTCTTCGAGACCTGGTGCGTATCTTGATTGGTGGCACATTTTTTGTTCTTGCCATTGATTCTTTCTCAGGCAGCGCACATCCCCGCATGTCCTCGGTGTTAGCTGTTCGTCCTTCAGCTGCTGCAAGTCCCTTGATGACAGCCTGGTGCGCATGCTCGATGCCATTGACCTCGGAGAAGCGCAATGGTTGCCTTAAGTAGTCAATATGCGACTCTCGAACACTGGACATTTTTGTATATACTGTATGGACGCATCTATGTACCAATTGTGGCCAATACTAGAAGTGATCCGCCACTCAATTAAGCAGTTCCAGAGGTGTGAATCAGGGATACAGAGACCGAGGCAGAGAAACACCGGCTGCCTTTGAAGCGCGAGAATGTCGGATGTGCGTGGGCGGGATAATTAGCAGACTTCAGGACATATGGAACTAGCAGACCTCAAACTTTGGGACCTTTGGGACAGATGGAACTAGCTCGCACTACTTCAGAATGTCTTATCAGTACGTTTGTAGGATACAAAGACCGTGGCAGAGAAACACCGGCTGCCTTAGAATGTCAGATGTGTGGGCAGGATACTTAGCAGACTTTAGGAACAGATGGAACTAGCCGACTTTAGACTTCGGGACAGATAGAACTAGCTCACACTACTTACTTCAGAATGTGTTACCAGTTTATTAATAATGGTAGGAGACAAAGACTGAGACAGAGAAACACTGACCTTTATGAAGTGTGATTGTCAGATGTGTGCGCAGTAGCCGTTGCTTGGTGTTCATGAAAGTGTCGTATTGTCAGGGGTAAGCATGCACACCAGTTAGCTTACTGAGAGGCACGCAGTGAGTAAGACACAAACAGCAGTCTGAGAGGCACGCAGTGAGTGAGACACAAACAGCGGTAAGATACGATTCGGCTACCGTGCGCATTGAGGCTAAGCTTCATCTTATTCCCTGTCTACTTTATATCTGGTACCGGGGATGAGAGAATGATGTAGAAGTATTCAGATGCCACGCACTGAATGATGAAATCGACGACCTTGTGTTTCAATATGGTCTCTGAATGGATGTTCGTAATAAGGAACAATATGTCATATCCCTGTGCAAGGGTTAGAGCACGATGGCCACTCATGTTCGAGCAAATCACTCACGAGGACAGGCTTCCTGGGTAAGTATTCATGATCTCAGGTAGAGTTATCAGTAACGTCGTGCATACCAATGGCACCATAGGGTGAATTCATTCCTTTTGAGGCATATTGAACTGCCGGCGTGTTTAAAGGTTGAATAGTGTAGAGCCTAATTAAAGAGCTGGAACTTTGTTGTCGTAGTATACGCAGGGAGTTTTATAGGAGTTTTATTGAAAGGCTTGTATGTATCAGACAAGCCCAGACTCATCGCATGACGCACATCACAGATACTAGTAAGTACTAGTACTTAGCTAGGTAGTATACTCTGAGACTGATATGCTATTCTATCACCTTGACGGTGTCACTTTCAAACTGCCAACGTTCAATGTTCAACATTCAATCTGGTGACAATCGTGCACTCCGCTGTTCGGAGCGCAAAATAATACTATTTCACAGTTCTAATCTACATTCACGCATCAACTCTCACCATGTCGGAACCCTATTTCTCAACTGATCAGCGCCGCTGGCTAGAAAATCAGCTAGACCTGTACAACTACTGCTATGAGTACGACGACCTCATCGAGTTCTGGACATCCCTATACGAGATTTTCTTCGAATGCTGGCCAGAGTGTGATGCTTTGTTCCCTGACTTACCCAACACTCAGTCTCTCTCTGAAGAGCAGCACCGTCAGGTGTTTCAGGCCGTAGAATGGAGGAAAGATGTGGGTACCAGGATTCTACGTAGTGCACAAGCTGACCACTCAATAGCGCATTAAGTCTTGGTTTCAATCCCAAAAGGCCTTGACGGGATACATTCCGTTCACAATCGTGTCGGTGCATAATCAGAATGTGACGTTACAGGCCGAAGAAGAGTTCACAGAGTATGGGGTGGATGTCACAGGTGACGAGCCTGCCAGCGGCGACGTTGAGGATGGTGGGAGTACTAACATCGAGGCCCAGGGGGATGGCGCTTTGATTGATCGGATTGAGGACACTGGGAGTACTAACACCGAGGCGGGTCCAGGGGATGGCTTAGATTTAGACTTCGATTGATCGGATCTCAAGGTGCCTAGATAAAATTAGAACAACATGCTTGATACTTCTGTTTATATGTTTCAAGTTAGCTATGGACGAAGTATCTAACTGATCTACCATACTGCTCCTTCGGGTGGTTGATTGCACTGTTCAAGACAACTTAGGCCTATGCGTGAGACAGAGTCCAACAGAATCCAACAGGTATAGCATACATAAGTTTACACACCATTTTCATTTTTTAAGACAACTTGAAACGCACACATTTAATCTTACAGTGACCTCATTCAACGTACAAGATCTCGTCATGCCTGCCGCATGCTGGACCTCAGACGTACAAACGGAGTGGCTTCAAGAGCGCCTTCCCCAATATCTCAGAGCATGTGAAGGAGAAAGATTATTCGCGTTTTTGGCCCACCTTGATCAGGGACTGGTTTAAACAGTTCCCAGAGGAAGCGGTAGTATTTCCCGACATTGCCGCTGACGCCCTTTCGCCGGAGCAACGTATTGAGGTGGGAGAAGCTGAAAACAGGTGCAAAATAGTAAGCCCATCTATAATGAACATGTCACTATTTACTGACGTACTTCAGCAACTCCGGACTTGGTTTCGTTGGCGTGCGAATGCGTCCAAGAAAAACCGTAGCCTGAAAAAGGAGTCAACTGTCTTCGATGACGTGCTGCAGCCAAAACGACGTGCTAAGTCCGAGGCTGAGTTGTACTCCGATATCTACTATGACGAGCGGATCAAACTGTTGGTAAAGGCCGAAGAAGAGGCTGGGAAGGTGTCGTCAGGCAGACGAATTGCGCTGGGGCGTAAATTTTCTAAGGAGCTGTTGAATGATGAGGATGAGGAGGTCAAGATTCAGATTCGTGACATGTACGAGAAGCAGTTTTAAACTCACGAGAGGTCTGGCAAGAAGAATCATTTAGACGAGGACAGCGAGGATGACTGTGTGCCATTTGATGCGGAGGGAATTGCGCAGTAAGTGGTTTCTGTGAATAGAGTCCAATAGTTAACATTCAAGCAGGGGCATAGACGACTTACCTATTATCTGCCGGCGATTCGCGCAATTGGTCAAGAAGAAGACCGGTTTCCTCGTGTCCTTCATGTTTGCTGGTCCAGATCCAAGAAACGACTGGGATATGACCTCATTATTGTGAGTTTACGTATTGGGTATAAACTGTTTTGGGACTCACACTTACGTACTCAAGTTGCCATCCCTCTGAAACTCAACAAGGCAGAACCTTCGCCCAGTTATACCAAACGGCCGATAGGAATTTCCTAGAGGTGTTTCAGCAATATGCGGAAATCATCTTCCGTGCGTTTTTTATCTGTTGCTAGCTGACTTACCTAGTTTATATCATGCAGCATCCGACAAGCGCAAGCCTAACGTTACTGTAGGGAACGAGGACATGGAGTGCGGTGAGGAGGTGTATGGTGAAGAGGTGCCCAATGGCCATGACGACGTCGAAGAGGACAATGACATCGAGTCCTTTGATCAAGGGGAAGAGGAGCAAGAGGAGAATGAAGGTCAGTAGATTGGTCGGTCTTTATACTTTTTTTATCATCAGCTGATGCATCCGCCTGATGCATCACAAGGCTCCTTGCTGCTGCCTGATGCTTCACTGGGTGATGCATCTGATGCACCAGGAGCCACGCCTGATGCATCAATAGGTGCAATGGTACGTACCCTTTCGTTTGCGATACATATCTATTCACAGGTTGATGTACCCCTGCAGTCTGATGCATCATCATCATACTCTAACTATGATGGTGTCTCCGCACCAATTCCTCATTCATATTCACCAGTATACGTACCCCCGACCACCAATTTGGTTCCCAACTTGTTCGGACCATTCTATGCGCCCCAAATGTCCACCACTTCGGTTCCTAGTTCTTTTACTCCGGCATATACTGCCCCTCTCATGTCCACTGATGGGTTTACACCGGTCTACAACCCCTCTGTGTCGACCCCCAGCTTCTCATTCCCTAATACGTGGCAAGATCTCAATTGGACTGATCCAGTCTTCCAAACATCTCCGGCCTCTGCTGCTGCTTGGCTGCAGCAAAATTTATCGCCTGTTTCTGCTGAGCGCACTAGTCTGCATGAGTCCAGTGCTGACTCGCTCCCAATCTTGCCTCATCCCAACCCACCCTCGCTTGACTCGCTCCCCTTCTTGCCTCATCCCAACCCACCCCAGCTCCCCATCTTGCCTCATCCTAACCCACCTCAGGGTACACCCAACTCTCTCTCCGCTGTCATAACCAAGCCGATCACCAAAAAAACAATCCTCGAGCCCAAGGCCACCCAAAAACCCAAGGCCGCTTCAAAACCCAAGCCAAAACCCAAGGCCATCCACAAGCCCAAGGCCGCCACCACCCCCACGATTACTAACCCACCCGGAGCTGAGTCTAGTTCATCAGGGGATGTAGCTCCTGGTGGAATTACCAACGATGAGTCTACGAATACACGTGCATCTAAGCGTGTCCCAGTTAAGTCCAGGCGTAACGAGCTGGCGGATGCGATTGGTACTGGGCCTTCCATGAAACGGCCTGCGCAGAACGGGTCTGCGGGTGCTCAACAGTATGTTATCCTGCCCATTTTTTTTCGATGCCTGCTAAGAGCTCTTAGGAAGAAGCGGGCAAAGGTCTAGTATGGTTGTTCTTCATGCTACCGTCATCATAGTCTTGCCAATTTCTTGATATAATGTCCCTACTCAATCCAATAGTTATCTTGTACCTGACAAGAAATATAATACATCATTTTGCGCGCATGGTTCAAATGCTAATGTTTGACTGTGAGCGAGAATAGGTGTGCGAGAATGAAATTGCTAACATTGATGCATCACCGAATTTTGTGCTACGGACTTCATGAAATTTGGTTGTAGGAGAGTGATGCATCACTCGCTATGTACATTTTGTGCTACGGACTTCATGAAATTTGATTGTAGGGAGAGTGATGCATTACTCACTATGTACTTGGTAACAGTGTCAATTGATAGATAGTAGTACTAGTAGCCCGTCTGCCCAGAACCCGCCGAGATGCAGCTGTACATGCGGCCGTATTCATATTACTAGAATTGAGCGCCTGAGGATTAACAACAAGGTGGAATGCGATTGAGCGCTGAGGATTACTATTAGCAAGAATGTGGAATGCTGCTGGTGCACCGTACCCTGCCAGAACCCGTACCAGCCGTATGCTGGTTGCTGGTGCACCGTACCCGCCGAGACATATCTGTACCTGCAGCCATATTGCTAGAATTGAGCGCGGAGGATCAGTAATAACAAAGTGGAATGCTGCTGGTGCACCGTACCCTGCCAGAACCCGTACCAGCCATATGCTGGTGCACCGTACCCGCCGTCCGCCCAGAACCCACCGAGACGCATCTGTACCTGCGGCCATATGCTGAAATTGAGCGCTGAGGATAAGTAACAAGGTGGAATGCTGCTCGTGCACCCACCGTACCCGCTGTATTGCCAGAACCCGTACCAGCTGTATTGCCAGAACCTAGAACCCGCTGAATACCATAAATGGACAATACCGCCCATCAAAGAAGGCGGGCGGGAGGGCGCTCTGAGAAAATAATGCATCATATCCCGCTGTATTGCCAGAAGCCGCCAAACGCGCTACATACCATAAATGGACAACCCGCCAAACGCGCTACATCCCGTAAATGGACAGCACCGCATCAAATGATGCATCATAGCAAGCATCGCAGGCATGCATCATATAGCATTGCTGATGCATCCTGCTGCATCAGTGATGCATTATGATGCACCCTATTAACCTGCCTATGGATTGTAACAGTGTTGCATCACTCCTACCTTACAACTACAACACATTCATGCATCAATATGACAGGGACGCCTGGTTTATTTCCCACCCGCAAGTGTTGCTATGTACTTGTAAGCTTGTTATCTTAATGGCTAAAAATATATGATATACTGTAGCATTCGACGCTTGGATTCAACGTTCTTAAGCTTCAAGCTTCATTGCTCGCTCTTCGTCGCAGCCTCGCTTTGGACCCCAACGTGCGCATGAACCGTTTCCACTAATATCGTACAAAGCTAACACGTAGACCACATTTTCCTCGTCTCTTGGCTGCTTCTACTGGCAATGTGAGGAATAGTGTGCATCGAGTTCTGCACTCATCGACAGCAGAGGCGCAATACGACATATACGTAGAAGCGATACCTATCCAATATCCATCCCTATACGTACCATGTATTATGAGTTGTAGAGGGCTGCGAGGATGACCGCAGGGCGGCTGACCACGATTTGAGAGCCAATGAGTGCCACGTACAACGCCAGCTACATTAATAGGAAAGGTCAATGTAAAACCTATGATCAGACGAAGGAAAGGACAAAAACACGGTATCAAAACTACAGGTACAATGCATATGCGAGACTCAACAGATGAAATGCTCAATGGATGTCATATCTACTACGGGGACTGCGCCTCTAGGTGTTCATCACCTATCGCAAGGCGAGATGGTCCTGCCCTCGGCTGTGGCTGGCTAGCCATTGGTTGCAATTCAATTTCTTCGTACTGAACCCTACCAGGCTGAATTAGTGAGCAATCGAGTAAAAAAATAGGTGTATTATACCTGGGATGGGGCACAGCAACTCGGTTGACAATATTTTCCTCCTCTTCGTCTTCCTCGGGATCGTCATCATAGACTGGTCGTGGAACCTGCTTCTTCTCCTTTGTCTGGAACCAGGCCAGACAAAAGAAGAGAACATATGGTCGCACTCCGTCGTCCACACCAACAGCGTCGGCCTGGCGAATAAGATGATCAGGTCTCAGGAAACTAATGAAATTCGAGGAAACAAACATATGTTGCTTGTCCGAGAGGAACATCGACAACTTGTACGGGTTTCCGTTTCGGTTCACGCGCCCTTTGCTTCCCCTTGTCTGATAAGCGCAGAATGGGATTGAAAAAGGTCCTGCTACCGGGCAAGGGAGTCAACGGAGAGCTTTCTGTATGAAGACGACCGGGAGGTAAGGGCAACGTAGCAGGAAACTGCGGCGCGAGTGTTGAGTGGATTGCAAAAGAAACAAAAAACAGAGGCATACATCTAGAGGACCCCGGGTCTGATTATTCTGAACAGCCGGAACTGTGTTCTTGCGAAAAGAGAAGGGAATAATCCTTCGGAGGTGAAGGAAATTAGGTTGCTGCGGGTTGATTGTGGGCGGAGGTCTCTGCGTGATAGGTATGACAGGTATCGATGGTCTACGACGAACGACAGGAGGACGACGAGTTGAACCAGACTGCAATGATAGTAATGGATGAGTGGTGTGATGAGCAAGAGGTGAGATGCGTACTTTTAGTACATCACCGCCGAGGATTGACTTGTTGAGTGCACTGGTCTATGAGGGAATGTTAGCACACAGATAGTAGATGGTTGTCAGGGAATGCGTACACCGACTTGAGCAAGGACGTCGGGTGGAGCATTGTTTATGTGGATATTGTTGTCGTTGTATGTCGTGTAAGCTAACTGGCGCGAGTCGGGTGAGAGAGCAAGGGTAAGGGGGTCCTGAACGTCGAAGGAAGCGAGGAGTTGGCGGGACTCAAAGGCCCAGAGCTTGATGGTGTTGTCGTCTGAACCGCTAACGATGATAGTGCCGTCAAATGAAAGTGTTAGACAGCGAATGAGGTTGGTGTGCCCTTCGAAGGGAGTTCCGACAGTCTTCAGCGTCGATGCGTCCAACACGTAGATTGTCTTGGCAGGGTCATCGGTAAAGCTGAATGAGGTCAAGATGTTTTTGTTTTTGTTTGTCCAGAAAACTGGCGCATATGAGCTTCCTGCTCCACCGTGCACTGTTCCAATCCTCACATCCAATTTCGCTGTTTGGATATCCCAGACCTCAAGGCACTTCCCCACAATTGACTTGATCGCAAGCTTCTTTGAATCCATTGAGAAGCGAACTGCACCCACCCAATCATCATTCTTGAATGGAATCACGAGTTTGCCGGTCTCCAAGTTCCATATCTGCGCTGTATAATCCCATGACCCACTCGCCAGCAGCTTGTTGTCCGTAGAGATATCAATGCTGGCGATCCTCGATGTGTGGCCTTCGAATGTTTTCACAATCCCTGTCTCGACCTCACAGGCTTTCAGCTCCCCGGCGTCGTATTCTCCAGATTCTCCACCAGCAGTGATAATCCATCGACCATCCCTTGATACCGCCACTGCCCGTATCTTCTCCTCGCAAACACTCTGTGCTTCCTCGATCTCCTTACCAGCTTTGAGATCCCATTTCCGAGCAGTCTTATCATAAGATCCACTGATCATTCGCTGGCCGTCAGGAAAGTAGGATATGGATCGAATCTGCTCTCCATGACCCTTCAAAGTCGTTATCAGTTTCAGAGTTGATTTTGTGGCAGCTGCCTTCGTTGATGTGGAAGCCATGACTGCGTCTTAGCGAGCGAAAACGTTGAGTAGTCAAGTACTTGAGAGTGATTCTCTGGATGTGTTTGAAGGGACGTTGAGCT